GTGCTCTCACTTACGGGCTGGCACCAAACCGGAGGCTACATCGGAGGAGGTGGAGGAACTCCTCAAGATCTGGGACAGGTTGAAGGTCGAAAACGATAACGTGGTGGTGGCGATAGACGGACGGAAAGTGCCTTTTGTTCCACCAAATCAGCGAGAACGTGTGATGCGCATAACTCATGATGGCGCCCATATGGGATTCGAGCGGGTCTTTGAATTGCTGCGGAGGCGAGTGTTTTGGCCAACCATGAGGAAGGACGTCGCGGCATACCTTCGGGAGTGCCCAAACTGCCAAACGAGTCGGGAGATGGAGTCCCCGAGACCGCCGATGCGATCGATGGAGGTTGGTGAGCCACTTCAGTGTTGGGGACTGGACGTCTTTGGGCCCTTACCAGTGAGTCGAACAGGAAACAGATACATTCTAGTGATGATTGACCACTTCACTCGATGGGTGGAAGCCATACCAATCAAGGACCAAACAGGCGAGACAGTGTCGCAAGTATTCGAATTCAATGTGCCTGCAAGGTATGGGATCCCACAGTGTATCATCACGGACCAAGGGCCCTGCTTCGAGTCAAGAGCGTTTAAGTCAGTGTTGGACAAGTGGGGCATCCAGAGACGGCGAACTTCACCGTACCACCCACAAACCAACGGGATGACCGAGCGGTTCAACCGGACATTGAAGACGTGGATAAACTGCACGAAGTTGGCATGGGAAGATGCTTTGCCTCAGGTTCTGATCGCGTATCGGACCAGCATGCAATCAACCACCAAGGTCTCGCCATTCGAATTACTGTTCGGCAGAGAACCACGGATTGCACTCGATACTTGCCTACCGAACCAGGGTGAGTGGAAACATCCAGCTGAGCATCAAGAGCGACTGCGAGGGAAAGCTAGAAGCGAAACCAAAGCTCGACAAGCGCGGAATAAGCGAAATTACGACGCCAGGCATGAGGCTCACAAGTGGAGGCCATTCAGGATTGGAGAACGGGTCAAGTTACGGAACAACGATCGGCCGGATCATGACGGGCCGGGCGCAAGCAAGTTCAGAGAACGCTGGAAAGGCCCCTACACCATTATCGACCAGAAAGCGGGCAACTTCTTAATCGACTGCGGAGGAATGAAACGTTGGGTGAATGCTGCTCTCCTGCGACCATGGTACGAGAGGAAGAAAGGTCCTGGAGGAGGGGCGGGTGTAGAGGGGCCGCTTCCAAGAATGGCTCTGGGGAGCTCTTCGGAGCTAGCTGAGAGCGGATCGCGAAAGACGGCTAGCGACGAGCCTGGGCCCGGAACTACGGAGCGGGAATATGTGGACAGCGCAATAAATCAGACAAATACGCCGCTAGCGCAGCCCACAGGACCGAGGCCGAGCCGATTGACACAGCCCAGAACAAGCAAGTCGAGAGCTCTCGAACGACTCCTGGCCGATCCAAATCGGGTGCAGAGAAGCGGAGATCGAGGCGAAAACAGGAAGGCGGATCTTCCAAGTCAGAGCTCCCGAGGCGAAAGGACTGGCTCGTCTCCAACATCCGTACCTGTGTTGCGTGGTGGGACGGAAATCTAGTCCTGCTAACTTCGTACATCGATCATCGGATCTACCGCGTCCACGGATCCTCCGAGATAAACGCCTCGAAGTGTGACCGACGTATCACGCATCACAGAAGCATGAGCATTGCTACACAAGCATTGTTCGAGCCAACGACAGTGGTTTATTTTTCATGGGCCTGGCAAGCAGTCGCTTATTGCAGTAAATTATTCTTAAACGAGCTACGAGATATGTCTTCTCAATAGCGTCTTTTAGGAGTCGGGATAACACATCAACGGGTGCGTCGTCTTTGAACGGTAAATACATGAATAGTTCTTTCTTCGGAGCAATGCTCCTAGGTGAGTTACGTACACGTACTCTCAGATGCTTCCGGATAAATTTGTCCGGGTATCACTTTTCTCTAAGGGTGTCGCCGATTTTCTGTAGTTTCTCATTGACGATATCTGGTGTGCAGATACTGCGCACCCTGAAGGCGAGAGATTACACCAAGCTCCGTTTGTACTACAAGGGTATCGCACCGTGGAAGTTATTATACCGTCCCGTCCATGTACTTTTCCTGTGCATTCTTATGCTGCAAGAGCCATCGGCGTTTCGGTCAATGTTTATATCCAGAAACGAAAGATTTTTTTGCAGGACTCTTGTTCGCAAGGGTTCGCATGTGCGTCGTTAAAGATTTTCAGAAACTGCACAGCCTGCTTTTCCGATTTACACTCTCCAAATGCACCTGAGTTGACTCATGGTGAGGATCAGGTAGAAGCAGTTCGACTGTCTCAGCTGTATCAGTGTACGTGGAATATAGAAGACAAGATCACGAACCGTATAGCAAAAGCTCATGTGCCTTTATCAACCTGCACCACTTCTAGCGCTCGCTAGACATCACTCTCCCTCAAGGGTATAGTCAACCATTCAGCTGTTCATTCACCCATTACATATAGCTAGAAAACTAGGTCCCTCAGAATTGATGAATGCTGTTACGTTCGATCACCGGTGCCATCACAGCTTGGGTTGCCTCTGGTGGGAACACCGCTGTGGAGATGAGCTTGCTCAGTGTCTTGTTTAGGGTGCAGGAAGAGCGAGTGAACCGCTGAGTAAGATTATTTCACGCATCCAGGTCCGGTGCTTGAGCCATTTGTTGAACATGTAAGCACACCAAGTCGCGCGACGTACGTTGTTTACGCGATTGGGGTTAGATAGAATAAGAGGAAGACAGGCCAACCGATGAGTTGGCGAAAACGGGTAAAAGCCCACATTTCGAAGTTGGCCTCGGTTGGTGCGTGCCAACTCTATGGTTCAGGGTTGCCCAGACTCTGCACTCTTGTTCATCTTCGCCATGGATGAGATCCTGGATACTGCCCTGGATAACTCTGAGTCCTGCGGTGTTGAACTGCTCCCTGGTGACCGCCTTCGGGACTTAGAGTACGCCGATGACATCGTTGCGATTTGTGAGTCCTCTCAAGCCACCCAGCATGTGTTTCTTGAACTAGAGATGTCCGCCTCCAAATTTAGGCTGACCTTTGCCCCTTCAAAATGTAAGGTCCTGTTACAGGACTGGCCGAATGCATGTCCGTTTCGCCACCTTTCGGGGCATCCGCTGAATGTGGTCGACAAATTCATTTATCTTGGGAGTTGTCTTAGTACTAACGGTTTGACAGATGAGATCTCCCTGCGTGTTTTCAAAGCTAGAGTCACTTTCCCCAACCTTCGTTATCTGTGGCTTCGTCGTGACAGCCTTGCTCTCAAGGGACGAGTCTACAAAGCTACGGTACAAGCGATTGCTGTACGGCTGTGACATTTGGCCCGTTCACAAAAGCGATGTTCAGCGGCTATCTGTCTTCGATCACCGCTGCCTGCGAAACATTGCTGATGTTCGATGACATCATCGCATCAGTAATGAGGAAGTCCGTCGGCGAATCTTCAGATCTAATGAAATCCGCCGACCGATTGACCGCATCATTTCGCTACGGAGGCTTCGCTGGTTTGGGCATGTGCTCCGCATACCTACACAGCGGCTACCACGACGAGCCCTATTAGCGAACACAGACGTGGAGTGGAAGCGACGAAAAGGCAGGCAATGTAAAGCTTGGATCCAATGCGTTAAGGCGCAAACATCGAAGCTGGCTATTGTTAGGAGTTCCCGATTCCCGGGTTGAGGACCAAAGGACCCCGAGCACATCTGATTGCAAATGCTGGTGGATATGGCCAAGGACCGTACTTAATGGCGCACTTGTTGTGAGACTCTTCCACTCCAACAGTTGTTTTCCCTTTCATTCTATTTTTTTCCTCTTATGTGTTTTGGCACTCAACTAATTGCATTGTAACTGCTAAAGTATATATATATATATATATATATATATATATATATATATATACACTTGACACTGTGCGTCAAGAGCTGTTGATAAGTTTTCCTTGTCTAGCGAGAAGATAATGTCTTTACACTTTGATGCGATGGGCAAAAGACAGTGAGATTTGGCCCAGGAAGTGAGATTGTCCAAGAAGCATTGCAAGTTGGCCGGTGAATTTGTGGTGTGATTGTGTATACCAAGGATCACGTCATCAGCATATTCTAGTAGGATGGCTTCTTTAGGAGCTCGAATGCAGTTAATGTAGGTGGAGCCAACAATCGAGGTGGTATGTGTTAGACAGGTAGGCATCTTGTCAACATACACATCAAGCGCAGCCACACCGTGGATATCAAACAACCAGCATAGCATTTTATGGAAAGCAAACACGGAAGCTTGATACGGAATAGGCAGCAAAAGAACAGAACAGAATAAATCTAATATAGTGGAATAACTTTTATTCAGACTAATAAGATCTGCTTTAGGTGTAAGTCGATTTATCCCAACTGCGGTGAAGAAGCATCATGTATGCAACATCAACCTTAGCATGAGGCACTTCCAGCATAGATATTTTCAACTTGGATACACACACATATCGACGAGGCTGTTTGCTTCGGAAATTTGCATTCAATCAGTTTCCAATGTTGATTGTTGCTCAGCATTTTTAACCTCAGGGCCAAAGCATTAATTAGCTAAGGTAGCAAACAGCAGATTGTTTCTGGAAAAGCCGGTAGGCCCCCTATGTGCTTAGTGTCGGTCTTCAGCATCGCCTCACGTCCGTGCATAACGGATGAACCAAAGCGAATGCTAAGGCCATCCATAGGTGAAACACCATGCTTCGTATTCCGGCAGAGAATGAATACAAATGTGGTCGGATTTTCAGCACAAGTGCAGGAGTTTAACGGGACATTCCAGAGAATGAATGTTAGTAAGACGCAAGTTCGCACTATACATTTCTATGGCCTTAACGGTATATAGACGGAGGGATGGACATCAGCAAAGACTGTGCGCGAGTATCTCGCATCACAGCGTGCCAATCATCGCCATTGAAGGGCTTCTGATCGGATAGAACTAGCACACACATATATCAGAGCCTTTTTTCCTTTTTCTGACAGACAGACAAAGTGAAAAATCTCAAAGCCCCGCTTCGACCGATGCTCATGGATGATAAAGCAGTAAGTACTTGCCGGTTCCTCCGCTTGTTACGTTGTAATTTTTGTGTGCAGAATTACCATTTGTCAAAGCTGTACTTTACCACCGTTTTTTTACGGTGATTCCTCACTCCGCAGAATCATGTAACGGAAGATGTGCTAGTTCGTATTGGCCAAGCCTTGGAGCCTTGGTTCATCTTCTCCTTGGTGTGGTCATTCGGGGCTACTTGCAACAATGATGGCAGAGCCAAATTCAATGCGTATTTGCGGCGGAAAATGAAGGAACTGAAGGTGGGTTATGGGACCGGTGCACCACATTATGGAATGACCTCTCGGAAAACAATTTCCTTGTACCTCATATCCGTTCTATTCCCTTGTCCAGAGCATCTTACCCTTCCCAGAAGAAGGCACAGTGTATGACTATCGATTTGATGATGGCGGTTTATTGCAAGGGAACACCCGAGACGATGACGACGAGGATGTGGAGAGAAAGGTAGGTGCTTCCATATAACTTCACACGTCACTGATTACCATCAGTTTTCAATATGGGGGTTTGTTGTATTCGCCGCGCTCTCCGTGAACCACTGGTTTAGGTGGTGTTGTAAGAGCTAAAAGCCGTACAACAGTCGAGCACCTCTAAATTCCTCAGTGACTCAGGAGGCTAATGCTCATTACAGTAAAGTTAAGTTAGACCAGTGATCTACGTGTGACTAGAAGGTGAGTTTCACCCCGTGTTCTAACCGCTACATCAAGTAGCGGTTGTTTCTTCGAGATAAGACCAGAGACTAAACTGGTTGTTATTGGTCTGATTCGTCTTCCAGGCTGGAGTCCAAGCGGTACACCTTGTGCGTGACTCAGAAATTCAAATGACGACACAGTCGGCACCAGTGGCGTGTCTGCCGCTGTCTCCTAGTCGAACTGCCTGTTTGTAGTATGTTCGGTGCTGAATTCCCTGCGGGGTAATGACTGAAAGGCGCAAGGAAGCCGTCTCCTTCATGCCGCCTTTGCACGATAGCCAGTTGTTTGTGAAGGTATGTTGACCCCGTATAGACACATTGATCGTGAGTGCTTGCTTTTGAGCATTTAGGCTCTGTACTAGGTCCCACTTCTTTCTTTCACATTATTGCCCTACTCTCTGGTTGTACGGCAGCGAAGCAGACGTGACTGATGCTCTGCTATTGAGGATGACAATAGTGAATCACGCAAGTCCGGTTACGAGTGTTTCCGATTATCTTACTTGGTAGGACACTCTCGACGCAAGCCTTCCGTGCATTCTAATCATGCTCACTTCGAGTACGTAAACGCTGCGAGAATGCCAGGTTGCGTAATGGGTTAACTATGGTAGCCTCCCAAAGCGATGTCTTCCTACGATAAGCAGGAGTTATGTTTAGTACTCTATAACACAGCTTTTTTAAGAAGTATTGCCACTACAGAATGAGCCTAGCACTGCTTGTTGTACGGACTCCGGGTTGACGTCCGACAGAGGATGAACACATTTGGGTGGACACACTAGTTAAGATGCCGAGGCACCGACCACAGTGGCATTCGTGTTGTGAGTTTCTGTCCCTCTCCCTTCACTTTAGTTTCCCCCTCCAACAACAACCTCATTCCCAATGCTTCGTGATATTTGTGATTGTGTTACTTGCAATTTCTAGTTTTTATAGTCGGTAATGTTTGATAGCTTATTTTTGCGGCACCTTAGCTGAGGTGTGTTTCTCACCCTCAGCTAACGTGTATTGTTGATGGCGATATTGAATCAACAGCCCTCATATAATGAATGGACCCAACTGCCCAGTTTGACTCACTGAAATTCTTACTAGTATCCAGCGATAGCCGTTCGATCCCCTTGACTCAGGTTGCACTGCATGCCTACAAAAACGTTCCTTCCTTTACTTGCAGATGTGCTGGGTGCATTGGATGCACAACGTTCCCGAAGTGACTATTCCACCGGATGTGCGTTATTCCGATATCATTGTGCCCACCGTGGATACGGTGCGTTGTGGACATCTGATTGAAATGCTGTTGCTGGCGAAAAAACCTGTTCTCTGTATTGGCCCCACCGGGACGGGAAAAACGATGACAATTATGCACAAGCTCACACGTAACATGCCAAAAGAATACTTACCAGAATGCCTTGTTTTCAGTGCGAAGACCACCGCACGCCAGACTCAAGAGCTAATCGATAGCAAGCTGGACAAACGGCGAAAGCAAGTGTACGGACCGCCGATGGGCCGGTTTCTGGTGTTTTTCATTGATGATCTGAACATGCCTGCTCTTGAGGTTTTCGGCGCTCAGCCCCCAATCGAGCTGATTCGTCAGTGGATGGACTTCGGTGGATGGTACGACTCGAAGAACATCGGAGAGTTCCGCAAGCTTGTTGATGTGAACTTTATAGGTGCCATGGGTCCACCAGGTGGTGGACGCAACCCCGTTACGCCGCGCCTAACGAGACACTTTAACTTTTTGGCTTACAATGAACTGGATGAACAAAGTATGCGAACCATCTTCGGTGTGGTGCTCAAATCATGGCTGTCTCGACCAGGCTCAGACAAACCTGCTGCACAGCTCCTGCAGCACGCGGATGCTCTTGTACAAGCTTCCATCGAAGTATACACAACAATTCAATCGCAACTTCTACCAACCCCGGCCAAGAGTCACTACACTTTTAACATGCGTGACCTGTCAAAAGTGTTCCAAGGCATGCTAATGGTGGAACCTGGCAGTTTGACTGGTAGTCTGGAGCAGTTGCTTCGTTTGTGGTTCCATGAGTCGTCTCGAGTGTTCCAAGATCGCCTTGTCAACGAGACGGATCGTGGCTGGTTCCGTGATTTGATCAGCACCAAATCCAAGGAGGCATTCCAACTTACCATAGCTGATTACGTTAAGTCTGAACCACTGTTGTATGGTGATTTCTTAACCGCTGCTGCAAGTGATGTGTGGAAATACATCGAAATGACAGATCACTCGCAGGTAAGTAGATAATTCACTACCATGTTACGCTCACACAGGTAAGAGTGCTTATACTGGGGGGATTCGTCAGTGGAGCCTAACCAGCCGACAACCGAGGTGTATATTTTGAAGCCGTGGTTCAGTCAAGCAGCAGACGCAAGCAGTAGTAATGTAACTCATTTTTGAACTTTCTCAGAAACAATTAGGCGGTGAATAGGGGATTCACCTATCACTGTTTGTAAGGAACATTATACAACACTTTTTCACTCATGAATGACTTTTTAGTAAGACCGTGTCGCATCCTAGAGTACCCAGTTGCGCGTTCACGAACGTCTGGAAAATGCTGACCTAATTAGTTGAGGGCGGTATTATGGCAATAAGTTGACTGAGACCGAGTGAGATAGTGTGTGAATTTAAGGCTGGTCAAAGTCGGCAAAAACCGAGGTATCCGCATCTAACGTGTTTGCTATCGGGTTCATAAACACAAGTGTTGGAGGAGTCTCAATAAACCGACAAAGCCTCACGCATGCGACTAAAAATATTGCTGACCAGTAACTCTAATCAATCATGCCGTGAAAGCACACTAAGCGAGGAGTCAACATGTCATAACGTAGCCACCAGGATCAATACTGAACATGAACAGTGAATGATCCGTTAGTAGCTGGCTGATGCCTTCACGAAAAGTTGGTACAATAATTTCACGACTCATAAGCAAGAGCTGTTGCATAGACAGCGGACACGTCACATCAATCTCGCTGCCCTGATCTTGTCGTGTTTTCCTCACATATCGGTCAATTGAAATTCAAATTTCCATTGTGCTGATCTGCTGCACGTACATTTCAGGTGCTTCAAGTGATCGAAGAAAATCTGGAAGATTACAACCAAGTCAACACGGCCAAAATGAATCTGGTTCTCTTCATGTACGCGGTGGAACACATTTGCCGCATCGCGCGTATCATTCGACAACCTCAGGGCAACGCTCTTCTGTTGGGCATGAGCGGCAGTGGTCGCCAGAGCCTGACCCGACTGGCAGCACACATGTATGTTTTCCCGTTTGAAGATCGCCTTTGAGACCATTCGTCTCGTTCATTACACCTTTGACGAGAACTTACCTTCTAGCTTAAGCGCAACTTTGATATAAGGGGGATTCTACGGAAGGTGACCTCTGTCCTGGAGAAAGGAAGAATTGCACCGCAATGACCCAGCACAAATGCATGGAAGAAAAAGTAGAGGTGCATTGGCTAATTTTACTGCATACGCCTAGCTAAATAATGATATGATAAGAGGCATCGATTCAGTTAGTAGGAGTGAGACACTCCGACCGCAATGGATCCAATCAGGAATCACAATGCGATGAACCAAATTCAAGAATGTCGAGGACTAAAGAAGCAGTAAGAACGGTTGCAACCGATAGGCGCTTATGGATGGGAGGGCATTTCTCAGTAAGAAGTAGCGCACGATACCCAGACACAAGCTCGCCTCTGTGTGACAGCTAATGTAGACGATTATGTGCAAAAATCGCTGCCAGAATTGCCCAATGTGACTTACAAGCGGGTGATAAGGACTGCATTAGTCGATGAGAGTAAGACTCAGATCCACGCATGGCGCTATACTGTACTGATGGCCACGCAATGTGATAGTAACGAGATCGGACGGCGCAAGCCGTAGGCTCAGTGCGGATTACCTTATGATGGCTTCATTGTGGGTCCATTCAGAATTTGGCAACTTTAAATTCATGTGGACAACACGTGATGCGTCATAACGGACTATGGCCTGTGCAACGCAAGTGATGGAGCCCGAATCGGATGCACCACCTAACTTGACAACTGGGATCAATGCAGTTAGCCTGAGACGAAAATGTTTTGCTCTGCTAGACGGCTACAGGACAGCTAAAGGTACCTCATTGATAGAAAGGAGATTTTCGCAATGGGAGCAGTTGTTCTGTTGCCATCACGATGCGATCAAACGCTGAACTAGGTGAGGTTTTATCTTGACGGTCACTTTGAAGTACACGTTGTGTGGATGGATTGCGACACACAATCTCAAGGTTGACCGCGATTCCCATTGCGGTGAACCTTGGTCTTTCGATCACGTGAGCCATAGATAAAGTAGATACAAATTGGGTGTTGTACGCCCGAAAACACTGCACTCCTATGTTATTTTATCTCATCGGATAGGGATAGCGGGCATTGAATCCGGAGCCATTGGGATGTTAGTTGTGACCGCTACCCTTAAGCCACCGGGTCACGACGGGCAACGTTTGATGAAGTTTTGTTCATCGACCCGTATCATTTGCAATGGCCATGGCAAAGAAGTGATATTCTTGCACCACCCACAACCATGGTGACATAAACTCGCATTAGTTTAACACCTTGCGGAACCGCCGAAAGGCACGAACGATGAGGTTAGAAAAGGAAGAAAATTTGCCGCGTTACATAGTCGTCGTAGAGCAGGCGGCCATTGAGAATTTCATCAACTCACCTGCTCGTTGTGCGACCACCAGTTTTGTGCACAATAGCTATTCCTGTCCGTTTAATATGGGCTTCAAACCTTTGTTTTTACACTATACCATCTCAATTGCCCGCTAAGGTTGTATCACTGAGTAAGCGTCAAGTTGTCCTTGCATCAGGTAGGTACGTGTGATGGTTTGCAGTCGTACGAACTGTTTGTGTTTTCTAGTTTTTTTTCTATTTGGTAGATCAGCGGAAAGACCGTCTTCTCGGTTAGTGAGCACTGAAAACATCTCAAGGTATTTTTCCACTTAGATGAAGTATGGGCCAACTGCCCACGTCAGATCAGTGCCATAGACCGTCTCTGCGGCTGGAATCTGATACTATGCTGATGGAGTTCAAATACAGATGGTCAGGTTTGAGTGATTTGATCCTCATGTTTGAGACTATGAAGGCTCTCACGCTCCGGTCATACGTACTACGCGGCCTTGAGAGAAGACAGCTGAAGCGAATATATGACTACTTTGAATGTCACGTCGTTGGGGGTTATTTAAGACACAACCAAGTTAGTCGAGAATACGAGAGGTATACGACGTACAATGCCTACATAACTTACGTTCATTGGGTGAGTCTAAGTGTTCTTTCCAAGCGAATGATCATAGTTTCATTGTAGTGATCACATCGAGTAACACGAAAAACGAAAAGGCTAGTTGCGGTGACTGGATGCGTATCTAACCGAACCCCTCTGACATTGAGTACATCAACAGAATTGTGATCTACTGGCCCGATTCCTTCGGTGTAGCAGGATCAGCTGATAACAGCTGCACTACACTTTTATCCTACTCCGAAGTGCACGAAGTCGCATACCAGCGCGGTGACCCAATGAAGTGGTATGAATTCCTTGGTCGCTAGACAAACTCTGATAACAGTCACCATCAGTGAATCGTGTATACTGAAAAGTTTTAAACGATTGGACGCATCGAAGCCAGTAGGTACTGTCGTTGTAGCTCAAAATCTGAAGGAAGAGTGGCCTGCGCTCAGAATCTATTTGAGCAGAAGGCAAAATATTATTTATAGGACAAATTACATTCCGTTCAACGATTCCCATTTCTTAGTCCTTGGTTAGCTGCCGCTGGTAGAAACAGCACATTCGTTGATCGGGTCAATTAGTTCTGCGGACTTAAGAGGCGATTCTCGTTCACACGTGTGGGAGTTGTTGCTCAACTGGCGGCGATCGATCAGCTTTCGACGGTCCGTACAAATGCGTTGAGCTCACCCGTTTGATAGGCAACCGACGTAATTGCTATTGCAACTTACCACCACAGGTACTAATTGGAGGCGTTGACTACCCTTGCTGCGGCTGGGACCACACACATCCCCATTATACCTGTAGGTCAGATGTCTCACACCAACTTGTGGCATCAGTGTCCTCGGGTCTACAGCCGAGCTCAGCCGAAACTGGTCAACCGCTTGGTTCTGTCTCCTTACCTAAGTCCATACTTCCAGGGATTCATTAAGAAGTGATTTACTAGGGATTTCCGCAGTCACATTGACGGTACCGTACTCCACAAGATAGGCTGTCCGTAACAAAGCGGAATATTTACTAAGTTCTTTGCTTTACTTGCTACAAATTGAAACGGTAACCACCGTCTGCTGACACATTTCTCTGTCTGTTACTCCACCACAGGGCCGAGTACGAGTGCTTCCAGATCGAATTGTCCAAAACCTATGGGTTCACAGAGTGGCGCGAAGATTTGAAGAAGATTATGCTCACTGCTGGTATAGATGACAATCCAGTGATCTTCTTATTCTCGGACACTCAGGTACATCCTTCCTCCCCTTATAAATCATTGACTCAGTTAGCACATACCCATTCGGCTGCTTCATCTTAAAGTTCCGTTCCTATGGATTACGTGTTCTTTAACACTTCTTTACCGTACATCTCTTTACCTGACCCTTGGCCTAAAACATCACATGCCTGCCTTGTTATCCGAGGGCGCGGTTTCGAGTCTGCATGGGAGACCGGGCGACTTACGCAGTATCCTTAGCCCACGCCTGACTGCTGATGGTTGCGCGCAGCGAAGCGTCGGTACTGCATACCGGCGAACTGCTAGTACCTACTGCTAGTACCTTTTACCTCGTCCATTTCTTACCCATGTTTTGGCGCCTATGCGCACTGAAGGCCGTGATTTTCTTTCGCATATACGAGTAAGCAAGTTTGCACTCGGGATTATTGTACAGAAGTTCCTACCCATAATAAGACCCTGATATTTTCAATAGTTGACGATATCACAGCGGAACAAACCCCGAGCCATTTACGTCACTGGTTCCGACATTGTGCCAAGTTTCAGCATCCTCCGTCACCCGCGTAATATTGTTGATACGCGGTGATTTTGTGGCGGAATCTATGAAACAGGGAGAAAAATTGGTCTAATGACAGCGAACAACAGTGGCTTGACTGCAACTGTAAAACAGCTGTCATACAGATGTCAGTTAACAGCGGCATCGTTTGCTCAGTCAGAGCCGTTACCCATTCACCCTCGAGGAAAAGCATTGGTATGTCACAGTGCAAGGAACCAACCAGCTGAACGAACTAGGTAGTTAGAATGCGTGCGAGGATTGCTCAGGAATAGAGTAGATAAGAATCGTTTTCCGAGCCTACGTGACCGAACTCGAAGAGCTGCGATATGATGGAGCCATTAGAAGACTTCGCTTCACCTTTGTAAAACTACTTCGGGATGCGCTCGCGAATCCCATAAGATAGGCACCTTTTAGTATGATCGACGTCTCGTGCATCACAGGAGCACGAGTAGTGACAAGCAAGCATAAATCGGGTCAACGGAGGCAATCTGTTCTTTAAGGGTGTTACGAGCAAGGGCTTGTTGTAGTATACCATGCGCAGGCCTCCGTTGATTCTATCAGTGCTTGTTTATCAGTACTTGTGTTTCTGTGGTGCACGGAACGTCGATCATCCTACAAGGTGCTTATCTAATAGAATTCGAGAATACATTCAGTAGTGGTCTTACAGAGGTGAAGCTTTGTCTTCGAATGGCTCCATCATATCTCAGCTCCTGGAGTACGATCACACAAGCCAAACGAAAGATTCCTGTCTCATCTATTTTATTCCTGAACGATTCTTGCACGGATTTCGGAAACATCTCCCATCTAATGCTGAAGTTGTCTAAATCCGTCGCCCCAAACAACATAGCCGTATTTCCTCCGACCACGGTCTGCTCTTTGGAGAGCGATGATCGGTTGTACATGCTTACAGAAGTCTACAGTTTCTGGGGGCTCGTGATGTTACCTACACGTGTGGTCTCGTGCTAACAGCGGCTACCGTGGTTTTATCTAAATACAGTTACGTAAACTGATAAATTAGGGAGACTCGTTTGCATTAGTCAGAGATTAGAAGAGGATCATTGCTTATCCTTGACATCATAAACACAACCAAGTGAGACTGACCGGATATGATAAGAAGTTAAATGCATCTAAAGTAGTTCCGTTTCCCTGTAGCACACTGAAACACGTATGGTGGACGGTAGCTTGCACAACGACTGTAGACAGAACCAATATTATTCACTGGTGAGGAGGGGGACAACATATTCTCTTTTAGATGTTCACGCGAAGCCTAAATGTTTATTAGGCGTGTTTATCTCTCTCTCTCTACATATATATATATATATACATATATATATAAGTAATAGGGAGCATTTTGGTATACTTCAGCTAATTCATCATTGTCACTCCCAATCAGCAGCCTTAGGCGAGTCTGGAAAAGCACCAGACGCCGGCGTGTCGACCTTCTGGGTCTCGTCAGTGGTGCGCCTCCCAGCGTACTCCTTCCAGGTTTCTCCCCCATGACTTCAGGATGCCAGCAGCTAGTGCCACTTCGCGAAACATGACAGCCGCGGACCTGCCTCATTGACAGTTGACTATGATATAGTCCGGCTCATCCTCCACGGCCATGCCAGTTACGAACTGTGCAGAGGACAATGGCTAGCCTCACGAGGTAGGATATTCCGCATATCACCTTTGTAACACAAAGGACTTAGAAGCTATACGCCCATATTTTAGAGCTCCGTGTGTTTGGCCCAACAACCTAGCTCGAAGAGCCTTCAGGTTTCGGCGCAGTCGTCCTCCTCTACCCGTGCAAACTCACCGACACCAAGTCCAACCGTTGTGAGAAGCCCAGTTGCACCTGGCCTAAATTGTTTACCTTTGTTGTATCCAACGGACACTGATGTCCCAGCAGGTGAAAGTCTGAGTGTTGAAGACCAGTGGAAAGAACAGAGAACGAAATTACGAAGGGACGCTGGGCGTTTACGTTCTGTAAGTCAACAGTTAGCCAAACCACTTGAGGCTGGTAGTATATTTCATCCTGCAAGGTCAACCTCGTCCGACCAGAGGCGTTATAATCTCGTGATCTTCCATGCACCGGAGTCCAGTGATCCATCACCACAAGTACGCTACGATCACGATGTCGAGATTTTACAGGGTCTAATTGATAGACTCCTCGATGCTGGTGAGGACCCGGTAAAAGTCAGGCAGATTACCCGTCTTGGAAAGCAAGGTGATCAACAAAATCGGCCTATGAGAATCACTTTTGTGGACGAAGCCAGTGCAAGACTGATCATGTCCCGCCTAAGTCGACTGAAAGATTTGAAGATCCATGTTCGTCCAGACCTGGACCCAGTAGACAGGGAGCGGCTCAAGTCTGCCATCATTGAGTTGAAAAAGCGCACTGATGAGGGGGAAACAAATCTTCATATCGTAAATTTTCGGGTGATTTCCAACAATCTGCGAATCAGGATAAACAGGCTGCTCACACTTCAAGCACGCCCGGCGGCTCCTGCTGCAGTCTGTGAGTAGCCTTCACAAACGTTTGCAGTATTATGAATAAGCGCGATGCGCATTGTTGCGTCTGAGTGGCCAGACGTAGTGGGACTCGCAGACATGGCTGGATGCAGAGTTATACACCCAAGAACTTGAACTCAACGGTTACTCGTGTTTCCGATGCGATAGACTAAAGAATGCACATGGTGGCGTCTTACTTTATATCCGGTCTTTCCTGCGTGGGAGACTTGTGAGTACCTACCGAAGTGACGGTGGTTTGTGTGAGCTACTGTGGTGCTCCATCTGCCTCACGCGCGGAGAACTGCTTGTGGGCGCAGTTTATCGCAGCCCCCTGAGTCGTTGTTTGGATTGGCTGCCCATTCTTCGGACCCACATGAGTAGCTCACACTTTCTACTTATGGGCGATTTTAAGTGTCCTCAAATACGATGGCCTGATGTGCATTTGATGCCTGGACATAGTGAGATTGAAACAAAGTTCGTGGATTTGGTACTTGAAACTGGTGCATCGCAACACATATGCCAGCCAACACGCATATCAACACGTTCAACCCCGTCCTGTCTCGACCTGATGTTAACCAGCTACGAACAACGAGTGTGTGACGTTAGGATCCTGGAGCCCCTGGCTACGAGCGACCACTCAGTACTGATAGCTGATACGGAATTATCTTTGTCGTATTCACATCCGCTGCAACCAGCTCCCAACTACTGGAAAACGGACTTCGATGGTCTAGCTCGAGCCGCTAGCCAACTGGATTGGTCTCTGTCACAAGCTGCATCTGTGGAAGATTGTTGGATATTTATAAAAGACAGATTGACATCCTTGTGTTCCCAATTTGTGCCATTGAAATTTCGGAAGATTGGACCGATTAAGGCTCATTGGTTTGACAAGGAGTATGGAAACGTGGCTCGGAGGCGGCGCAGACTGTGGGACAAATTCCTCCTCTCTCGCTCTGCCAATGATTACGAAGGGTATAAATGTCAGCGGAACCTCTACAACAGTGCAAAAAAGAATAAACGCCGACATTTCGAAGAGCACCTCGCATTAGCCGCGAAGACCGCCCCAAAGAGAATCTTTGCATACGTGAAGCGACGCCTGAAGCCGGCAGGTGATATGCCAGTGCTAGATGGCACGAATGGACAGCCTATAACCTCCAGCACTGAGCGTGCGTCCGCGTTGGCGGCGCACTTCGCTTCTGTATTTGCGATTAACCAGGTGTCTGTTCCGAGTTCGACGTGTACCGCTTCTACCGAACTCGATAGTCTGCATTGCGGCGTTGAAGAGGTAGCTCTACTACTCGCCAACCTTGACGGCACCAAACCTGCCGGACCTGATGGGCTTCACCCACTGGTTCTCAAGTCACTTTCAACCATCCTGTCTCCTGTCGTGACTGACCTCTTCAACAGGTCACTGTCCGAAGGTTCGTTGCCGGTTGACTGGAAATGTGCGGTGGTGAAGCCTATTACGAAAGGCGGCGACCCTAGCAAAGTAGACAATTACAGGCCAATTTGTCTGACACCTATTTTGGCGAAGGTTGCTGAGAAAATCGTGAAGAAGGGATTTTGCAGTTGCTACAGTCAAACGAAGTTCTGACGCCCGCACATCACGGTTTTATGCAAGGTCTCTTATGCATTACGAAGCTGCTTGTGACGAGGCATGAGTGGTTGAAGGTAATAAGCAAGGGGAAGTCCGTCGACGTGATATTCATTGATTTCAGTAAAGCGTTCGACAAGGTCAGTCATGAGGTTCTTCTTCACAAACTCAGCATGTGTGGTGTCGGTGGCTCACTGCACCGGTGGATCCGCGACTTTCTTGTAGGACGAAAGTGGAGGGTACAGGTCGACGACCATCTAACTGACTGGTACCCCTCTACAAGTGGCGTGTCTCAAGGCACTGTGCTGGGGCCCACTCTGTTCCTGAGCCATAAGAACGATCTACCGCAGCTTCTCCGGTCGCCGTGTGCCTTGTTTGCGGACGACATGAAGATTTGGAGAGAAATCGACGCTCCCAATGACTGTGACCTACTTCAGCAAGACCTCAACCGCCGATCCACATGGTCTGCAGAAGTTCTTCTCCCGGTCAACCCAGCCAAGTCTGCATTTATGAGCCTGGAGAAGGGTGCTAACGGCCGAACCTACACCCTTGACGGCCAAACGCTATATCCCACACCCTCCGTGAAAGACCTAGGTGTACTCTCACGCTACGATCTGAAGTCCGTGGACAACACGAACAGGCTATATCGTAACGGACTGCGCATGCTTTGGGCGCTCAAACGTAGCTTCGGCACATGGTCTGAAGAGGTTGCCACTCGCCTCTTTTCTTCCATCATTAGACCAATGCTAGAGTACGGTTCGCCAGCCTACTTTCCGATTACCCGAGGCGAGGCCCAAAAGATCCAACGGGTCCAACACGTTGCTATCAGGCTGATCCCGAGTTTACGTGGCTTTGGGTATGAAGACCGGTGAGAGAAACTAGGACTCTACACATTGTCCTACCGTCGGGTGCGAGTCGACCTCATTATGACCTACCGTATTCTACATCTCGGTGACTTCCCAATGCTAAGGTCAATGCTGCACTTGCGAGGGCCATGCAGCACACGCGGACACAGAGGCAAACTTATCGTGCCGGATGTGAAAGATGTTCTCCACCCACTGTGCTTCGAACGGAGAGTAGTAAACATTTACAACATTTTACCTGAACATGTGATTAAGGCAAAATCTGTGCAACATTTTAAAACGTCGTTAGATTTGTATTTTGCCACTATTCGATTAAGAGAACGATTGCACACTTACGATGACATATCACATTTGTGAATCCTGTACTATCGTAAGTCAGATCTTTTAAATATTACGAGAGAACGATAACGGTATTCACGGTTGGAAACTTTTATAACGTTTTTCACCATATTTCCAAAGAGTTGTACAGAATTCATTTCTACTTGCTCTATAATACAGTATTTAGTGTATATATATATATATATATATATATATATATATATATGAGGGAGAGCCAATGATGCGCTGAGGGTTGCGGTGGCTAGAACATGAAAGATGTTCTACCCACTGCTGCTACTGGACGCCTCGTGGTGACTGCTGGGTGAGAGTTGGCTTATGGTCATCTAGCTAAGAGCCAGTGCACTACTCCGCATGACTGAGTGAACTGATCATATACTAGACTCGCTGACTTTCGGGTGTACATTTAATCAAATGTATTGGCTGAGGATCCGAGTTGTTCTGCTGTCAAGTGTGGGCGCTGCGCCAGTATTCTAGTCCAAACCCCATCCTCTTCGGAGGTTGGGAAATGGTCGATGGCTCTCTTCCCTTAAAACCTAGCCATAGGAGATAACAGATCTACGGGTTATAAGCTCACAGCTCGACTGGCGTAGAGCACGAGCGCCACGCATTTTCTCTGACAGTTGGAGGGCACCTCTGGGTGCTCAATGGTTTGCTACTGCCCGCCTCAAGCCAGGCAGCCCCTGGTCAAATTGGTGCAAATCCGTAAAAGGCCTCCTGCGTCTGGCCCTGGTCGCAGGTGTATCCTACTACGGTCACAAAACGCACAATACTTGTTCCAAATCTTCGAAGACTGCATGTGACGGACCTCAAGCAGATCCCAATGGGTCTCTGCAAACACACTACCGAGCTGGATCTGCTCCCACTGCCTTGTGGGTCAAGTTGTTGACTCAAAGGATCTGAGCGGAGTCCCCCATTTTGATAGTTTTGTGCCACAACAGAAGCAAAAGTTAATCCGTTGTCTTATTCACAAAGCAATGAAAATTTTCCCGGAGGATACGATTGTACGGGAACGCATACAAATAAATGAATCATTTCTTTACAGTGGCTTCCCCGATCTAATTGTCGACAGAAACATGCTGAATGACCAACGAGGTGCTACACTGCCTACAGTAGAAAAGTAATATATCTATCTATCATTGCCATAACAGAGCTACACTTTTTAGCAGGAGACTTAGAACTGCAATTAGGAATACGTATTTCGCGGGTCAGCTACGAATCTTCTTCGCCCCTACACCGGCCCTAACTCTACTACTGAAGGACAAATTGTCGGTGGATGTCACCTCCTTATGTGTATACCAATTTACCGACTCCTGTGGAACAATCTACATAGGCTGCACCACAGGACGTTTAGCCGAACGTGTGCGGGTGCATTACCCAGCGTGCTTGGGTCAGGGAGTAAACAAAACCTGCACCACTGCGATTGTCGAACACCCGGCCGGTTGTCATCACAAATGCTTTCCGCCCGATCTAATAATAATAGTACTACTACTACTACTGCTACTAATAATAATAATAATAATAATGATAATAATAATAACGATATATTTCTCGTGGTATCGAGTAACTGAGCCACAGAAGGACGGATCACATTTATATTTGCAAATGCTCAGGCATGAGAGACTGTCAATGGTTTGGGTTTTTACAGGGATACAATAGCGATATTGTGAATATTTTCATTTGGGACTTTTGTCGCCGTATGCTATCAGTTCGCCGGCATTCTCATATGCTTATTTTCGGTGCAGCTTGATGACGCCATGATGGCGTAGATTTCATGGGGGGAGGGGGAGTATGAAAAGGATGGGAGTTCACTCCAAACTGATCAACTGCCGCATGCTTGCAATTACAGAGGCGATCATTCATCTTAACCACCCCCCACTATGTGTGCACAAACAATTTGTGAGGACTTCCGCTCTCCCCTGGTCATCTGTCGCGCACTCAACGCTTGATGTGACGACTACAGTCGTGTGAACAAGTCGGAACACAGTTGTCACGCCAACTTTCTACCCATTCTTAATACGTGCTTATTTTTCCACCTCATTTAACCTCTACGACGTAGGGTCCTGCTGAGAACGTAAGCATAATCGGTGCAGCGTTGGTAGGTACGCTATATTCCATTTACTGTGTGCTTGCGTGACGTGTTTTTATTTTCTTTCAGCTGACTGTTTTGCTATATTTTGTAATGCTTACTTTGTTAAGTCATCTGGATGTCTGTCTGAATAAGCTTCTTCTTAATTATACACGTCGCTTAAGCAGATTGTGGATAAATTCTTTAACCTTTTCGCGTTTGTAGAGGTAAAAAATATATTTTCTGACATCTCGAACTTAGCGCAAATTGTTGATAACAAATTTATTACAAATGCCCATTTAGCAAAGAGTTAAGTCGGTATATCCGTATGCTTTATTCGATAACTATTATTTGATATTGTCATTTCAAGTGGTTGGCTGTTGTTTGACATCCACGGTGTGGCTGCGCTTGATGTACATGTTGACATAGTGCTTACCTGTCTAACACCCTCCAGCTCGATTGCTGAATCCAGAAGACTGTGAATCGTTGCTGGGGGGGGGGGGGGAACGGGTGCACAGTCCCGTTGGCCGTGCTAGGCTCGAAGAGTGGTTCCATGCACTTAGTGTGGGGCGGACTACGGTCCAGCCACCGCCTTGTGTGCGATTGATTCCCCAAATACAACGTGCTTGTGTTTGTCTGTGAAGGAATGTGGGCCGGCTCCCTTGATGAAACATGCCTCCCATCTACATGCATCCCGGTCTTACTCCTTCGGGTTTACACTGGATATGGGGTGTATAGATGGAGCTGTGGGTGGTGCAGCGCAAGCCACCCATGGTCCCACTGTAGGCGCAGACGTCCTGTGGCTGTCCTCGTTGAGGCCGAAGTGCAAAGGCAAAACCGGAACCGTATATATATATATATATATATATATATATATATATATATATATATATATATATATATATATATGCGAAGCCCATAAACGCGCTATTCATGCAGCGTTCACGATCCCACACTCGGTTGCGGAATAAGGTGTGAAAGGGCTACACTTGTGGGATTAAAGAAAGATTCCGCTCGGGGTACTTTGTTCAGTGCACTTTTGCGAGTTCCGTTACGCGATGACAATGACTCAGTTCCGATCGTTGAAAATGTTCAAATACTCTTTGTGTCTTCGTGTGTTCACTTCTAGTGTTTCAGAGACTGCTGAGTTGACACAGCTCACTTATCCCGTTCGTTTCGCTTAACATAAACCATAAAAATCGAACGAACCCCTTTGGCTGGTGTATTGTGCACACCAAGATTTCCTCATGGTTCGTTTCTTTGGCTTTTGCACCAACTGGCGCTAAATTAGAAGAGCTTATACTCTCAACCAATTGTCGTCTTGTACAACCATCCGTATTTCTCTCTGTTGCACAGATCAAATCGGAATCATTCCTGGAAGACATCAACAACATCCTGAATGCTGGTGATGTGCCCAATATTTACAGTCTCGACGATCTTGACAAAATCTATGACGCCATGAAGTCAATAGTCAGTGAGCGAGGATTACAACCAACAAAAACCAATCTATTCAACTGTTACACTAAGCGAGTTCGTGACAACCTCCACACCGTAATCACCATGAGCCCGCTTGGTGAGGTATTCCGTGCTCGTCTGCGACAATTCCCCGCGCTTGTCAATTGCTGCACGATCGACTGGTTTAGTGAATGGCCTTCAGAGGCACTGGAGTCTGTTGCACTCCGTATACTGCGACAAATGACCGATTTGGATGTGCATGAAAGTGTGCTTGAAGCGTTGGTGAAGACGTGCATCGATTTGCATCAATCTGTGATGCACCACACCGAGCTTATGAAACAAGAGTTGAACCGACACAATTACGTCACTCCGACCAGTTTCTTAGAATTGTTAGGCGTGTTTTCCAAAATCTACGGAATGAAAAAGCAAGAAGTGATCGCCGCTCGAAACAGAACGAAGACCGGTTTGGACAAACTTCTTTCCACCGAGGAAGTGGTCTCAAAGTTGCAAGAAGAGCTGGAGGTGATGAAACCAGAGCTGGAGAAAGCTGTGGAAGAATCCAAAGTGACCATGGAAGAGATAGCGCGTGATTCCAAGATTGCCGAAGAGACACAGAAAGTGGTGTTGCATGAGGAGCAACAAGCAACGAAGAAAGCCAAAGAATGCGAAATAATACGTGATGATGCTCAACGCGATCTGGACGAAGCGATGCCCGCATTGTACGAATCTCTAGAGGCCTTGAAGGCATTGAATAAAAACGATATCACGGAGGTACGTGCCATGATGAGACCTCCGGAAGGCGTGCGTCTCGTCATTGAGACAGTTTGTATCATGAAAGATGTGAAACCAAAGAAAGTGGCTGGCGATAAGCCGGGTGTCAAGGTTGACGATTACTGGGAACCAGGAAAAACACTGCTCCAAGATCCAGGCAAATTTTTAGACTCGTTACTCAACTTCGACAGAGATAACATTCCGGACAGCATTATTAGCAAAATTAAACCCTATATTGAGTCTGAAAGCTTTACACCAGCGGCGATTTCAAAAGTCAGTAAGGCCTGCACAAGTATATGTCTTTGGGTCCGCGCTATGTACAAATACCATCATGTTGCGAAGAATGTAGCTCCCAAACGTCAGGCTCTGCGTGCCTCCGAGCTGGAGCTCGAAGAGACGGAGAAAATATTGCAGGAAGCACGAAATCGCCTGGTGGCTTGCGAAGAGCGTATTGCCAGTCTACAAAGCAAGTACGATGAATGTATTCGCCGTCAGCGTGAGTTGGAGGAGAAGAGTCAGTTGTGCGAAGCCCGATTGGTTCGTGCGGACAAGTTAATTGGGGGACTAGGCAGTGAAAAACTGCGATGGCAAGAAGCGGTGGTCAAGTTTGATCATTTACTGCAAAATCTTGTGGGAAATGCGTTGTGCTCAGCCGGTACTGTGGCTTACCTCGGACCGTTCCCCGGCAAATATCGCGCAGAAATGTCTCGTGAATGGGTTTCAAAGCTGCAAGCCAACGGGGTACCACATACAACCGACCCAGCTCCAACCTTGGTTCAGACTTTTGGTGACCCTGTGAAAATACGCAACTGGCACATTTCCGGCCTCCCTAAAGATGTGCGTTCCATTGAAAACGCCGTGCTGGTCCATTTCTCCCGTAGATGGCCACTGTTCATCGATCCTCAGGGCCAAGCCAATAAGTGGGTCAAGGCTTTAGGTTCACAAGCTGGAATGACTGTGATCAAAATGACTGACAAAGACTTTTTGAGAAGCCTGGAAAACTCCATACGATTTGGGAAGCCATGTTTGTTGGAAAACGTTGGAGAAGAACTCGACCCAGCTTTGGAGCCAATTCTGTTGAGACAGACTTACAAACATCAAGGAGCCACTGTCATCAAATTGGGTGACGCAGTGATTCCTTACCACGAAGATTTTCATTTTTACGTCACCACCAAGTATCCCAATCCGAACTACAAGCCAGAAGTTTCAACCAAGGTTACGCTGGTAAACTTCACTCTGTCACCCGATGGTTTGGAAGACCAGTTGCTCGGAATTGTTGTGGCCGAGGAAAGGCCTGATCTGGAAGAGATGAAGAATCAGTTAATAGTAGGTAATGCAAAAATGAAACAAGAGCTGAAGGAGATTGAAGACAGAATTCTAGAGCGACTGAGTGCCACGGAAGGCTCCCCGGTGGATGATGTGGATTTGATCCAAACCTTAGAGGCGTCCAAACTCAAATCGAGCGAGATACAAGCAAAAGTTGTAATCGCTGAGCAAACGGAACACGACATCGATGAGACGCGCAGTAAATACATCCCTGTAGCTGTACGCACGCAAATTTTATTTTTTTGCGTTGCCGATCTGGCCAACATCGATCCGATGTACCAGTACTCTTTGGAGTGGTTCGTGAACATCTTTCTACATGGAATTTTGAATGCAGACAAAGCTGGTATGTATTGTGCGATTGTATTGCCTTAACGTTCCTCTGTATTTTTTGTTGTGTATGGACACTATATGACTTCGATACGATGAGTACAGCTATGCTCACCATCCAGTTCACGATCGAATCAAAACACTCGACTACTGTATCATTTCGCACGCCGTAAATCGAAGATATCAACCATACAATCGCATAAAGGGCGTTCGTTTAAACGAAGGGTTCTATGCGGTTGCTCAACCGATTTAAGCTGACGTACAATCGATATGAATCATAACGCATCCAGGACAACCAATAATGCTGAATGTTATAGGTAGAAATTTGTCACATCTAGACTCACTCAGACAGCCGTCACACGTCCGGAAAAGCACTGTACGCGCGTTTTATCCTTTCGGGAATCGTCATCAGTGCGCATTCCATCGGACCCTAGTAGGGCGCGAACCCGCAACTCGACTGTTGGCACTCCGTGTTTGAGACCACCGAGCTACGAGGGTTGGCAACGACCACTGACTTACACCTTACTGTCGTGCAGAGGACATAGTAGCCCCCTCACCAAGCGACGAGCTGACCAAGCTTAAGCCGCCAATTAGTTTATGGCATTATAAGCAGTTTGGTCAGCGCACTGACTACAGAGGAGTAGTAGGGGGAGTTGAATGGTATAGGTATAAATTCGTCACCTCTAGATCCACTCAGACAGCCGTCACACGCCCAGAAAAGCACGGTACGCGCATTTCATCCTTTCGGGAATCGTCAGCAGTGCGCATTCCATTGGGTCCTGGTAGAGCTCGAACCCGCAACTCGATGTCACTTAGGGAGACATGAGCTGGTAACTCAGATGCTACGGATACAGCAGTCATAATTCCAGTCATCATGGTGATAAGAGTCAGTACCAGTTTGGGAAAATGGAAAAGAAGGTAGGCGCCTTGATGGCCAAAATTTCAGGAAAAGGAATGGTACGGAGTTTGCTCGTTGAAGCAAAATGTTGACAGGTGGAAGCAATAAACCGGATGCAATAGTGCCTGAGTTCCCGACTGCGTTGTGTTGTACAGGGATCCTAATTACTGTTACGGATGATCTCACGAGCTCTGCCCAAGAAATGTCACGCACCGAGTCTACAATGGCGTCCGGCGAACTCCACCGTTTAACGAGATGTCTAACGCATGGAAAATAAGGGTGCGCTGGCAATTAGCACCCCGTTAATTGGGATACATCGGTTAACTCGACTGTGCTACAGATAGGATCAAACACCATTGGATAATGCTGAATGCAATGTGTAAAACCGTGAAGCATACTGGATAAATTGACCGCGCCGAAGGCCAACTAGCTTGATGGATAGTATTAACTTGCTTGGACTATACCTTGCGCTTGCATCTATCCTTCTTGCTTCAGCGGTAACCATTAAGAATAAACACGAAATTTCTAAAACGTAGATGGCTGCGAAAATATTCGGAATATTGGTTGGTCGTCCACCTGTGAAACCAGCCGTTCTCAGCGCAGCTGGGCAGAATCGTGTCCTTCGAACACGAGGCTGGTTATAGCATCGTTATTCCTAATATTGCTTTGATGACCCAACAGCAGTGGACTTTTCACTAAACTACAAAGTAGTAGTAGTTGTGGATTTAAATGCTATATGCTGAGTTCATCATACTTAGTCTTTTCAGAGGGCCATAAGCACTCTGTCCAAGTTGTTTGTAATGCCATATGCTTAGGTTAGCTAAGCTGTTGCCCGAGTAGCGAGGGGTTTCCCTCTCCTGTGAAAGGTAATAAAGTGCAGATCAATGCAGGATGAGCCACCATGGATCACAACTGTCAAGTTAGTTATCTCGGTCGTTGTCGTACCAGTGCACATGACCGCTGGCTTGTGAAAGTAGTATTTCATGTTCTAACTCCACGCGAAGTAGCTGTAATGCACTTTACTGAAGGATCCCGAAAGAATGAAACGGCCATCTAGTGTTTTCCGAATGCGTGATGGCCGTCCGTAAAGTTGTGGCGAACTCAACAAATTCACCGAATCACTACTATTAAAACTGCATGCATTTTCGCTGCCTCAACACAATGAAGTACGTAAATCTTCTCGGAGTCTAACGGGAGTGTCTACAATACCCATGATGAACCGGACATTGTAGAGGGGGAAAGCATTCTGGAGGAGACGACACTTAACCACCATAAGAACGAACTTCAAAGCCCTATGTGGGGTAAGGGAGCAGCAGTGCAGTGTTCTGGGCGTTCGACCTGCACCCTTCAGTTCTGCGTTTGAGCCCCGCTCCCACATGGATTTGGGTACGGCGTAAAACCACGTAGGGTTGCAAGTTGGCGGAACATTAGTGAGGATTACTGAGGTACTGCGGATGCGTTTAATTGGGTGCGCATAGCCTAATCGACATCAGAAAGGGAGTCGCATACCTACGCCACTCATGGGCTCATTTGATCAGCGAGCGGTCAATACTTCTAGGTTGATCAAATCGGATGAGTCCGCAACACGATAAACTTCTCTCCTAGGTACCCTTTGTCGGCAATCTGAGTAAGTTTGACATTGCGTCACCGAAGGTGAGAACCATTTTACAAACACTCGCCGCATGCGGTCAAGTTGCAGCACTCAAGTATGCGAACGAGAAACTTAGATACTCTCTCGATGCAATTTGAGGGCTCCAGCTTTGCTAATGGCAGGCGCATGTCTGATAAGCATATTTCCAAAAATGTTACACCAATGCGCTGAGTATTCACCCGTCATGGGTGCATAAAGTACATTCTTGACTGACTTGACCTGACTAATAGGCCCCGGCCCTGCCCCTATGAGCAAGATTCGTCTAGCAAATCAATACTAGGACTTTAGGTCCCGCTGTAAATTTAGAATCGATCGGTTATACTGATGCTGTGTTGTTTGAGAGCCGAGGCACTGTGTAACCCCATCTCCCCAAATAGAGCTAAACTGGTGTTCGGTAGGTATTTCGAACAAACTATCCTATGAAATTGGACTCAAGTCCGGATGTCCCGTGCATAATGCTCTCTCTAGTCAGAACAGTGCTTTCCAGCAAGTGGCAACTGGTAAAAGGTCTGGAAACTAATTACGTGCATTAGGAGTTTCACAAGTTATACATTGAAATATTACTGTTAAAACCAGAGATGGCATACTCATTCACTCCAAGCCTCAATAAAGTCTGAAATGCTGAAAGGAAAACTGCTGTTTCCAGGGCAGCGATAATAAACGCCAAGCTATATGCATAGAAACTGACTAAGCTTGAAGCAAACAGCTATTTCCATTCGGATATCGCGCTGTTTCCCAACAACGTCCTGACTTGTTTTTTCACTCTTTTGCAGACAATGTACCACAGCGTGTGAAGAATATTAACAACTTCTTCACGTTTAGCCTGTACACCAACGTCTGTCGCAGTCTATTTGAGAAACACAAGTTGATGTTCGCATTTTTGGTGGCCATCCGCATTCTGCAGAACGAAGGCTTAATCAATGCAGTGAGTGCTAACCTTGCATACACGTGTTTCTGAACCTCATTGCGTTGGCTGTGAATGCTGTACAGTATGCTACATTTGTGCGCATGCAGCTGTGAGCCCAGACTTGGTGCTAGGATGAGGTAGTGAACAAACCGTTGAGCCACGGCGATAAGCCAGATGGATCGTCTCGAAGGTCTATGTTTACGCTGTTCCGTCAAGCACAAATAGCAACGCAGGTTGGGAAAATCCGTCCGTTTAGGATTTGTCGAACTGACGGTAAACTCGACACACCGAGTGATGCAATTCCAAACGGCCAAAAGTTGCGCGCTAGGGCAGCTGTTGATCAGGTTTGGTTCATTATCAAACCACGCCGGCCGAGTAAATTCGGCTGAGCCGGAACTCGAGCAGACATTTGTTATCTGCCATTTACCATTGTAAGCTGTGACTTGTCGGATGCACAGGTAGGGGATCGTGAGCACTTGAATGCAGATCAGCGGATTCCCAAGCCGGGAATCGGATTGCCGGTGCACATTGAAGAATAAGTTAAAACCTGGGATGTACCATCGTCCGATGATTGACCAAGTCCAGTTAGATCCGTGGGACATCGAAGCGCTTCCCTGCATTGAAGCATCTTTCCACCTTTCCACCAAATGTGCACACTATCAGTCGTTGAGAAGTAAACAGATTGAAGAAGTCTAGATGCAACAACGAACTCGTGAAAGACCACGAAGACAGTACCTCTATTTCTGTCTGCTTATACCCCCACCGCTATCATATATCTGTTGGGCACAGGAAAACGGCACCGTCTTCCACAGACCACCAGTTTATTGGGGGTGGGGACGTACATTTTACGCACTATCAAAGTCGATCTGCCCATCGCGTGAACATGTACGCGGCACCCTAACTAGCACTGTCACACCCCGCCACGTTATGGGTCGAGAAATCATTCCGTCATCAAATCGGGGCGTGTGACACAGGCACCAATCAAACCAACCATAATCCCGCCTTAGGTTGTGGAGCGTCTTGCCAAATTTGACGTGTGCGTTCGGTGCATGAGACAGGGGGTCACCAGATTTTGTCCACAACGGAATGCACAATTGACAGAATGACTAGCGCAGGCAGCACAGCACTTGGGTAAATAATATAAGGAAACTAGGCACTCGGCGTCCACTTTTATTTTCTTGGTACTTGTTGTGTACGAAAAGTCAAATGCACGAGCCAAAGTGAGAAGGTCGTTCCGGTAAACGAACTACTGTAATCTGTTAAGTGTATAACTACGTGAGCACATTAAGGTGTTCCAAGGCGAAGGATGAACCAATAAAGAAGTAGAGAATTAGGCGTTTTGTGTGTATGTCTGGGGTTGTGTGCACGTGTCCGTTTAGACTGGCCGTCAAGCATGATGACCAAATACACAACCTCACCTCTCCGCTTAATCATGTGATGCGTCGAAACCATATCGAATCGGTGGTCTTTATTCTCGGCCCGTCTTGCGGAGCTGCGTGCTTTGAGTGGTTTCGCCAGTGAAGGGTGTTGACACATTCTCCGTTCATCTGATACTTGTGAATACTCTCCATGCGTTGACTGTGCGGCCATCCTCCAGCTGGTAAGTGCCTGGCCCACATGCACGCGTTATTTTTATCGGATCTGATAACGTGGGCTGTCCTTTTGATGCAGCGTTTACCTTCACGCGCACGAATGTTCCGGGCCGGAGCGGAGTAGTAAGCTTTTGGTAAGTGGTCTGATATTGATGGCGACGATCTAACTCGTCGGAATTATTGGTTGCAAGAATTGAAAGTGTGGCGTTCGACTTTGTCCGAAGGACACGCCCAAGAATGAGTTCAGCTGTTGTTTCGTCTGTGGCTCGGTGGTGTGCGGTTCGGTAAGAAAATAGTGCTTGTAGAACTGCATCATCCCAACCCTTACCAGAAAGGCTAATAGTTTGGATGCTCTCTTTCAAGGATCGATTGAACCGCTCTACCATGCCATTTGCCGCTGGATTATACGGCGTTGTACGTGAGTGTCGGAGAGCGTGAAGTTGAAAGAACGAAAGAAACTCGTGGCTTGTAAACTGCGGGCCGTGGTCCGTCACTATCTGCTCTGGTAATCCGAAACGGGAAAACATGTATTTCAGCCATCGAATAATGCGGGCAGTAGTCGCCTCTTCCCACAAATGGACTCCCGGACATTTACTGTAAAAGTAGGTCGCCATCAATCAGTTCCTTTGATGCCGAGGCGGTGAGCTAAATGGACCCATGGTCCATGGCCCATGGTCGCAGAGGATAGTCAGGGGGTTGTATAGGGGATGAAACCGGCCTTGAACGCTTGTCTGCCTTTTGACATGAATAGCAGTCTTGAACAAGTTCTTCTATTTTGTGTGACATTCTTGGCCACCAGAAGCATGCGTCAACCTTGGATTTCGTACGAACGATACCAAGGTGGCTCCCGTGAGCACATAGTATGGTCTTTTGCATCAAACTCCGAGGAACCACAAATTTTTCGCCGCGTATTAAACAACCATCTATAAATGAAAGTTCGTGACGTAACGCAGTACGGACGAAACTCGCCTGTGATCTTGGTATTTTGTGGAAAATTGTTTAGCAGAAACCCCTGAACGCGGCAGAGGGTCTCCTTTTCCTGAGTCGCCTTCCGGAGTTCTTCCTTAGTCAAGGGTGAGATTGGTTCATTACTCAGGGAAGACACCAGTAACCTCTCATTATCATCCTCATTATTTTCAGTTTCGTTGAGTGGCAGTCAAGAGAGCCCATCCGCTACCTTGTTTTCGCGTCCGTGACGGAATTTAATTTGAAAATCGTATGTTAACAATCGTGCATACCAGCGATGTATCCGAAGTGGCCTGATTCCATTTGTTCCCCGGGTAATTAAGCCAGTTAGCGCTACGTGGACTGTAGGAAGACTGAAGGGTCTTCCTAACAAGAACAGATTCCACTTCTCACAGGCCCAAACGCAGGCAAGGGCTTTTTTTCCCAGGCAACGTAAGAAAGCTATACCGCCGACGATTTTATGGCGGCGTATGCAATAACTCTTTCATGATCGTTTTGAATTTGGGATAGTATAGTACCCAACCCAATGTTTGATGCATCAGTAGAGACAATCCTTGGGCACGTCCCGTGGAAAAGCACCATGACTGGTGTGGAAGCAATGCGGCGTTTTATCTCGTCAAAGGTCTTTTGTTGGGGGTGACCCCAAAGAAATACACTTTTCTCCTTTAGCAGTTCACCCAGTGGCTCAGCAATGTTCGTGAAATTCTTCAGGTAAGGTAAGTTGTAGGAACATAGACCTAGAAAATGCTTTATTTCATTGGAGTTCTGTGGACAAGGAGCCTCAGTGATGGCACGCGCGTTGCCAAAACTCGCCTTCATACCGTCAGTTCTTATAATGTGGCCCAAGAACTCAATTTCACTAGCATTAAATCTGCACTTCTAGAGGTTCAACCGGAGGTTAAGGTCATGTAGTCGACGTAACGCAGCATGCAGTCGTGAATCATGCTTTTCTGGAGTCCCACCGAATGCACAATGTCGTCCAAGTATACTATTTAACCAGGTACATTGGCAAATGAGTGAACCATAAACTTTTGCCAAGCTGCTGGAGCTGAACTCAAGCCCATTGGCAAAACTTTGTACTGAAAGAGTCCGTCAACCGTAAAAAATGCGGTCAGCAGTCTTAACTCCTTAATTAGAGGCATGTGAAAGAAAGCCTTCCTAAGGTCCATTTTTGAAAAAAATCGGGCGCCGGCTAGTTTGTCTAATAGTTCATCCGTGGTTGGAAGCACAAATGTTTCTATCACGATGTGACGATTTAAGGCCTGCAGGTCATTGCATATTCTCACTGTACCGTCCTTCTTGAGGACTGTAACCATAGGGTGAACCCATTCAGAACAGTTAATGGGTTCTATGAGATCATCTGAAATCATTCTCCGTAATGCTGACGAAACAGCCTCTCTTCTGTCCAAAGGAATTGGACGTGGATGAGCAATAGCTACCGGTTTAGCATCCTGCTTCAGATATATGCGGTGAACGGAGGAGGGAGCGCGCCCTATTGCTTGTTCAAACAGTTTCGGGTACTGTATCTGTAGGTCTGATAGGTTAATTGCCATGATACGCATACGAGCTAGGGACGGCGTGACTCCCAGTGCAACCATAGCGTTGCGTCCGAGTAAGGGACGGTTATTTCCGCGGGTAACGTACACAGCAACTGATGATTTCACCGCCCCAAGTTGCAACACAATCACCACAAATCCTCGTATTTCAACCGGGGCCTTTGTATAACTGTCAAATCGATAGGCTGAAGGGTGTATAGGGCATGTCATGTAGGTGAACATCATAAAAATTACTCGGTACTATAGTGATAGGAGAGGCTGAATCAAGTTCCATGTCAACCCGTGTTGTTCTATCGCGTGCAATAACTGTGACAGTACGAATGTCAGGCATAGGTAGTTTAGGCCCTGGACAATTGGAAAAATAGTTAGACACAGTACCTGTGTTATCAATGGAAAATACATTTTCAGAAGACTGTAACTGCTGACTGGAAACGGAATCTGTAGGATGTAACTGAGAAATGCGTAATGAACGACAACAATGGGCAAAATATCCACGCTTACCGCACTTTTTGCAATCCATTTCTGAGGCAGGGCACTTGGTAAAATTGGCTTTATGCTGTAGGCTACCGCAGCGGAAGCATTTCTGTGGGGATTGGAATTCGGTTGGCGAGCGATGGAGTTTGGCAACCTCCTGTATATCTGCGTGGGTAGCGAAACATCGAAACTCTTGGGCCGTACATGTTTTGAGGCGAGCTAATTCGACAGCCTTATCCCAAGTCAATTTGGGAGCGACTTCGGAAAGTAGACATTCCCGAATTCAGTTATTGGTGGTTCCACTAATCAAGTGCTGCACTAGCATTACGCTCTAGATTCTATTTTTCGCTATGGTTGGATACTCGCAAGGTCTTATACCGCGAATGAGGCGATCGAAAAAACTGTCTAGAGTTTCCGATAGTTCCTGTGTAAGTCGGCCGAATTTGAAGCGAGCCATGAAGTGGTTCGTACGCTGGACCCATGACTTGTCCATCACATCTCGTGCTTTCGTTAAGGTATCTTGAGACTGGAGCGCCAAAGCGTCAAATTCACGTTATCCCTCATCACCGAGTAGGTGCCTGAGAAGCTTCAGTTTCTGGCCTTCAATGTAGTTAGAAGCCGCAGGTAGTAGGTCGATAGTTTGTAACCGAGGTTTTCCACTGGGCCCATGCCCTTCCGGTAAGACGTAAGGTCGGCTCAGACCAGTAAACTGTAGGAGGATGTAAGTCCATGGCGTAGGTTCGCAAGCCGCGACGCCAGTGTTGTGTACGGAAAGTCAAATGCAAGAGCCAAAGTAAGAAGGTCGTTCCGGTAAACGAACTACTGTAATCTGATAAGTGTCTTACTACGTGAGCATATCCAGGCGTCGCAAGGAGAAGGATGAAACAATAGGGAAGTAGAGAGTTAGGCGCTTTTTATGTGTGCGCGTGTGTGTGTGTGTGTCTGGGGTTGTGAGCACGTGTCTGCTTAGACTGGCCGTCAAGCATGCTGACAGAATACACAACAGTAATCATAATGAAAGGTGAAACAAACGGAGTTCAGACAAGAAACTAGATAGTGAATTACAAACAAAATGGCAGAAAAGGGGTTCACTTATTTTCTGATGGCGTCCTTTTTAAGGACATTTTCTGAAGTATGGTTAAAGCATTGAATTAATTGAGATAAACGTAGATTAGTCAAAATGGTTTCAGGATAGTGAAGATTTGTGTCTTTCTTGAAAGCTCAATCAAAAAAATAGTAGATCTAACGCTAATTCAAGGCCTTAAATAAAATTTTTGAAAGTGAGACTGGTGGTAATTTTAGTTCACAAGAATACAAGGCGTTACTGCACCACTTACTTCATGGGATTGGCGATGTTTCTAGCTGCACTGAACCGCAGCATAATTCGAGAAGGCTCTTATGTGATCAAACCGCTAACCTCGGAGTGATTTACCAGGACAGGTCAAGGCACTCTGTTGTCGGTTGTCCACGAGATGCATGCTGGTTTGTGCATACAATTTGATGTATCAAGACGATTTTGAATATGTGAATGTGCGCAAATGCGAGAAGGCAGGGGAACGGGGACCCAAGTGAATTGAAAGTGCGCCCAGTGACTTTGTGGTTTTAACTCCCGCATTGCAACATTGAGCTTCCGGTTGAGATACTGTACTGGGTCGAGGAGAGTTGAAATATATTGACGGAGACAGACAACCTTGCGAGGCATTCAGTAACCAAAGTGCCTTCGGCGAGCTACGGGAGTGCTATCACTGACAAAGTTTGCCGAGAACTTGAACCTTGCCATCCTTTTCTTGATCGACAAACCCTGGGGAACGTGTGGCAGATTTAGTTTGGTCGCCGCAAGTCATCAGGGGGAAATCTGCCATTTGTTCTTCAGTGTTTTAGAGACTTCGATTTGATATGTAACCAACCTAGCCCTTAGTACCTACAGACAATGATTGCTCTTGCAGTACTTAGCATATGCCGGTCAGCGGAAAACTCGCGTACGTGCTTTAAACGAGGGGTCACATAACCAACCTCAACTGAGTATTCATTCACTTAATCTTTAGGTTAAGCTTGCCACGGAGCTCAAAAGCCTAACGATATAGCCAGTAGCCGTCAGTTGCTACGTCTCGGATTCGGCACCAAGACTGGCTGTCTCTATCTGAGATTCCAGCTCAGGGAGTGAGCAACGAGCTGACAGCACCCAAAAACATATTTTGATGGGCGGATGTTGACTTCATATCACATGAATCTGGCTAAAGGGCTTCGGAAAACCACAAATTACTTTGATTAAACTAGACATTGCTTTAAGTATTTCATGTGTCAAACAGTACAACTGCACTTTACACATTTATAGGACGAGTATCGTTATCTGCTGGCTGGCGGAACCCACAAACCACGTGAGGTCCCCAATCCGGCGCCGGAATGGATTTCAGATCGTATGTGGGGCGACATACTCACTTTGACTGCGCTACCAGCTTTTGCCACATTACCGGAAAGTGTGACTGCAAATCGGGACGGATTCAAAGCCATTTTCGACTCAGCCGAACCCCACAGAGCAATATTTCCAGACCCATGGCAAAAGAATTTGGACAGTTTTCAACGCATTCTGCTGCTACGGTGTCTACGCTCGGACAAAGTGACGAATGCCATGCAAGATTTTGTCACTCACCATTTGGGTCAGCGGTTCGTGGAGCCTCAAACCACAGCGCTGCCCGAAGTGTTCAAGGATAGTTCTCCATCCGCTCCGCTGATCTTTGTGTTGTCACAGGTTAGTCTGCTTTTCGAAGATGCTGTAAATGTAGCTTGCTCGCCTGTCCTCTAGTATGCGGCAAAGACCCTAGCGTATTTCGACCAGCCACTAGGATGGTTCGCGTACGCCTCAGTAGGCGTGTCCACTGATTCCAAATGGCTGATCACCTGTTTAAGTCCACATATATCGCTGATGTGAAAGACAATTAGACACACTATGAAGCTAAGTCAGTAGTCAGATGTACAACGAGCAGGACAATCACTACCCCCTTACCATTATGATGACATTCCCAGATAACATTCTATCGCTACCAAGCAACATAGTGCCGTTTCCATTATGCTGTTTGAACCAACATGTCCCCTGGAACAGTCCACTATAGAGCAAACATTAAAATACATTGCTCCTCAGAAGATGTATATGTTCTCGACCAGTTACATTCAGTTGATTAGTTGATCACATGTGATCTATCCATCAACCACGATAGATCCAGTCGCACAGACTCACGTTGTCATAACAATGATACCAGATGAGAAGTATTGGAGTATACTTGGTAGTCATCGAGAAGTCATTATTTCAGCAAGGTTTGGGAACAGTCGGTTGGCGTGTTTATTGGGCAAAGTTTCGCTTTTGCCACAAAAGCTTCGTCAGGCCAGGTGAATAAGTATGTAAGTGGGGCGTTGGTTTATGGCGAACAAGGACGATAATCGCGATAGCAGACAAGAGCGAAGGAATTACTGCAGTCACAGGTCAGGATGTCACCTCAAGTGGTTCAACCACAGTGGGAATAGTTCTGATATTCCCTTGTGCATCGCGGCATTGACAGAAAGGCCTAAAGTGGTGGCGAATTATTAAAAATTAAGAGGCAAAAGTAGTGTGCATAAAAATAATCAACCGAAAAAGTTAAAAAAGTGAGAATCGTTAGAAGTCAGGAGCGAGGAGCGCAAGAGTGAATGCGTAGCCGCTCTGGTATTCTAATCGGTGGTGCGGTAAATCTCTCGGAGTCCATCCAGAAAGACAACATGCACCGACCCGGTTCCATCTTTCACTCAGTTGCCTCATACTCATTTTGGACTACGACTTTTCACACAATCGGATGCACCACTGGTTGACATTGCACGCCAGACAGCATACGCATAAAGAGATGATTCAACCTGCGAAGGCGGTTCGGGTGGAGCAGACGATCAAATGTAAGGGTTTTACCAAAAAAGAATTAGTAGACTTCCGAGGTACACCTTCATTGCTCTCAGGGTCTATGAACAATAATTCTTAAGAATTCATGATCAAACGCGACCAGCCTCATGCAATGCACTGCTGTTTCTGGTCCTTATAACAAAGCTGGCCCCACTGCGGTGTCGTACATACTGCCTTTGTCTACTAGATAACTACCCCGCTATTTCATAGGTAAATGCAGCGTTGAAAAAGCACGCTCGACTTACGGATGTGCGTAGTAAACTTTTGATTGCTTAATGGGGTTTTCTTTAACCACCCGCACTCTTGGCCAGCCCTGAGAGTACTGGTCAGATATCGTCTCGGCGTGTTGCTGGTGATCTGAAACTAATGATCTAATGGAGAAACGTTCGGCACTTAGATCCAACCAGTGGTGAACTTGGAAACCCATCTGCCACCCTGACGCCTCAAAAGAGCGCACAAGCGGTATGTCTAAGGCTGCTCCAAAACTAGTTAGCTCATCCACACCGTTCATTGGTGACAGATGACGTTACGACTCGGATCAGTGCTACTGCTACGCGGACTGCGAGTACATCAGAGGCCTGAGGTAACTTGAATTTGTCAACCTTTCCAGTCGGAAGAAAGTGAGCATGGTCGGAAATGAGGCGAGTGTTCCAGAATGGCTGACACTCCTGGCCCGATTCGCGTCATCTTTAAGGCAATGACGGCATCACTTTGACTTCAGGACAGCCTGTCGTTAGGTAGATAATACTGCAGTACTGGATCGATACATCTCCGGTTCCAGCTATCACCGAACAACCCCTGGAAGTGATAATCGGTTCACTTATCTCGGTAGCCATGTCATCTATAATGGTCGCACCTCGGAGGTTACTTCGTGTATCAGCAAGGCTCGTGTGGCTTTCCAGAGACTCAACCATCTATGGACATGGCGGGATATCAGCCTGTCAGTAAAAGGTAGGGGTATAACGCTGCCGTAAAGCCGGTGTTACCGTATAGATCAGATACCTGGCCAGTTCGTAGCAAAGACATTAAATGCTTGGCTGTGTTTGACCACCGGTGCTTGCGGAGTGTTGCTCACGTCTAATGGGAACACCGGGTGAGCAATGATGAGGTACATCAGTTGGTCTTTGGCACGAAGCCTTCTGATGCCTCACTCGAATGTTTGCTTTAGTTCTCAATATCTTGGAACATATTTGCTTTAGTTTACTCATACGCTGGCCAGGTCATTTCCTCGGTATGCCCGTTGACCGGCTTCCTCGGCGAGCATTATACACCGTGACTGCACCAAGATGAGCGAAACCGCAAGGTAACCAGTCTATGACGTGACGTAGAGGCATGGAAAAATTGACTGTGATACTTGTTCAGGCTGGTGCATGCTGTCTTCCTGGATGGGGCCTCAGGATGGTCCACACTAATGATTGGAGACCGTATCAGACATGGCGCAGTAACGCAGCCAGTGGCGTTCCTGCAAGCGGATTCTTGCATCTGGTTGTTAATTTTTCGTTCCATTCTGATAAGTTTAACGCACATTCCTTTTGCTTCCATTTTCTTTACATTCTATTTGCCTTTAACTCCACTATCTTACCGTTGTTATTTATTGTCATTCTCGCAATGTGAGCTGCGGAAACTGGATCCACCGCACTTTGGTGCTCGGATCATAGTTGTCCAACTGTGCTGAACTCGATGCAAGCGCTTGTGCAGTAAAGTCCTACTGCTGATTAGGAGAAAGCAATCGCCATTGTCAGTACGACAAAAATCGGCCCTAAGACTAACTTCGAGGTGGTGTTCAGAAGCTGAGGGACAACATATCTGAGTGTTCGGATAGCCACCAGTTAACAGCTCAGTACATAGAGCCATTTGAATTAGGAAAATAGCTGTTTATTTGGACTTTTATGGCACCCATACTCAGCAAACATGTGGTAATGGGCGTCTGTTCCATGCAAGTCCTTCATCTACCTTTTCATACATACGGCGAAGGCGACGGAAACAACGTGGCGGTTGGCTGCCTCCACTCGGAACCATGGCAACTGGAGTCCTCTTTATCCCTAGCCTAAAACTTAGCAGGGGTGATAAAGCACTTCCCAAGTAGTGGTCACTTCGGTCTACCAGCCGGAAGAATGGGGGACAGAGTTGTATTCGCTCACAACGGCGCGATAATGGTATTGACTTAATGCACGGAAAGGACAATAGAACGACCGAAACCAAGCACGGAAGGTCAAATCGGTTACGATTTGGTACTGAGTTAGCAAAATCAAGAAGCCCGCTGATTGCGCAACTGCTTCCTGCCAGTGAAGAACCTTAAGCTTTCATCTCTTTGGTCTCGTGGTTTTCATCCAACAGGACGGTTAGCCTAAGCCCTACTAAGCTTTCTGTTATATTTTTTCGTGCCAATTAGCCATCTTATCGGCTAACCATGCTGAGACTGAATCCAGCCGGATGCAACAACGGTAAACGACGCACATCGAAGTGGCCGGTCGGAAGGTAGGCACAGAGTGAGGCCCATTCATGTTAGACGATGTAAGCCCATTGGGTGATCCAGTGCTGTGCTAAACGAGGACTAGCGAATATCGGAAGCACTCCCTCGGTGGCTTCCCGAACATGAGCGGTGTTCAATGACAGTACCGGTAAAGCTGACTTGTCTCTTAATGCCTTCGACGGACAGTGGGCAGATGGATGAACCATGTAGTTACACAGGACGCGCTACGTCATCTTACTCTGTAATCGACTGGTAAACTAACTAATATCTGTACCAATTTGCCTATCGGAGAGGAAATAGTCAATTACCTGTTGCTAACTATCGTTTGCTACCAACGAGGGTACTCACTGTTGCAGAATTCAGTCCTTCGGGGACAAGCGTTTATTCAGCAAAGTCAAGTCGGCGAAAATTACAGCATGTTCGGCAAGCCAAACTCCTCGATATAAATTGCACATTCAAATCCATAACTAATGACCCTCTTGAGTCGATCAGGCTCCTCATTTGCTTCAGTTAAACAAACCGTCAATCATTCACACAAATATCGGCCAATCCGAGTCCAGTAATCGTATCCGTTACGCCCATCTCCTATTGGCTGTCTGGCTCCCTCGGTTGGTCCATCCGCTCACTCTGTTCTGACACCCATCACACTTACCCAGCCACGCAATGGCACCAGATACTTTGGAAATGACAAACAGCTGTACCAAACTCGCATTTCAGTCGTCTTTCGTTGAACAACGTTCCCTATTCTGTTTGTTCACGAGTAGGCGAGATTCCACCCTAATTACTGCGTTGTCGCGTCCTATTTTAGCCCAGCTGGTTAACCTTGTGTTCCTATCAACTCACTTGTGCATATTCCATATGAAACAGTTGGTAGATTTGTGATGTCGGCACGATTGGTTCTGATCTACTGTATTGCCATCAAACAAATGGGGGCTGTTCTACGGCTATGTATGGTTCTATGGATGGAGTAACGGATAGCATGCCCTCGACTTTGCGAATCGTAAAACTGCTTCCGCATGCTTATACAAGTTATGGATCGTTGCGTCCCTAATTCCGGTTGGGAATGGCTGGCATTGTGATGGAGCGACAAGCTTTAGCACAGCGCAGCCCACACACCATCACCGCCACAAAGCAGAGATGGTACGACGCCAGCTCATCGAGGTTGCAGGAACAGCCGATCATAGTAGGTGTACTGTGTCACACGGATGAAGGTCATTCGCAAGTACACCTGAGGCGGCAGTATGGCTTACCTACCTAACTGAAGTCCATCCATCGAAGCTAGCTGCATGCGCGCAGTACATCGAGTCTAGCTTCGGCCCTAGCAAAACTCAACGCTGGTGAAAATGAGGAAAATATCAACTGTTACATCTCACGGTTGAAGCGATTTACTGAAATGGACTACTAAGCATCATAGGACGGTACAAACACGTGCATTAGTTGGATCACCCCACCAAATGGGTGAGTGCATTCATAGTGTTTATCCAAAGTACTTCTTTCTTACATTGCTGACTCCCTTTATTACAGGGTACGGATCCGGCTTCGGATTTGTACAAGTTCGCCGATGAGATGCGTTTTGGAGGCAAGAAACTGTCGGCAATTTCCCTTGGTCAAGGACAAGGGCCACGTGCTGAAGAACTTATGCGCGCAGCTATGGAACGAGGAATTTGGGTGTTCTTCCAAAATTGTCATCTCGCACCATCGTGGATGCCCACATTGGAGCGCCTAGTGGAGCAAATAGACAAAGATCGAGTAAGTAAACCAGAAGCCAAAAAGTTAAACTTTATGACGGGATCAATAGTTATGGCATATATATATATATATACAGTCACGCCTAAGACAACCATTGAAGTGATCGACAGAACGTAAACTCTTTGGAAAGGTGGTCCCAATGGATAGGCTCTTGCATAAGGGACACTACTTCTCATCGATATCACATGCATATTTCGCTTTCAAATGTGAGCTAGATCTGTACGCAGACAACTACAACCAGCTTTAGTCATCCAATCACAGTGGTAATAACCTACAGTGGATGAGTAGACATTTTAAAACTAACTTGCAAGGTAACGTAATTCATAAGTTTTAAAAGGATCATACCTTTTTCTATTGGTCGTATCATTTTCCACCGGATGAAAAAATCTGGTACAGAAGTTTGTCGCTTAACAGTTGGAATCAAAGAGGAATTTGGTTTTTCAATCATGTTCATGATAATTTCGAGCACAATGCGTAGGAACCCAAATTATCAACAGCACCTTGTGTGTCTGTGAATGCATACATTATCAGAACGTTTGTATAATCCTGTCCCTGCTCGTTGTTTCATTCCCAATTCACATCCTCAACTGCCGAAATTGTAGTGGCAGGAATCTCCCAGTTTAACATTGTTGCGTCACAACTTAGAAGATTAGGACCAATTATGGAGCTGTCAGTCAGTTGGCATCCAAGCAATTCCCTTAAAGGAATTGCATGAGGTGCAATTTAATCGTCTGCCTTACGTCCAATATGGATTGTTGTCTGAGAATTTGTCTACAGGGCAAGGGAACCCTGTTCTACATAAGCACTTAGAGATTGCTGAGTTCTCCATCTCCTTCTTTGCGGCAACAGTTCAGAACACGATATCCAAAAAAACTTACTCGTTTCATGAGTTCATTTCTGGACATATCTTTGTGTTATTCTATGCTGATCTTAAGGTGTAGCTGTTTTTTCCTGAACTTTAACTTAATGGCTTTAATGACACCGTGGTCGAGGGGTTGAATTAACGCAGTAGCCTTAGGTGGCATGAGCCGCCGTTTGACATTATTTAGCTGGACTTTTTTATGGCAAGTATCACTGTCAGCAAACAAATGGTGTTGCGCTTTCATTGCTGCGTCTTTCTAACCAAGCTTTTAAGCCACTCTTCAAAAATAACTGCAGTCATCCATGCATTTTTTATTATTTTTTGTAAATTACCGGTATTTTTTCATGTTTACGCTTTTAACAATCCGTTGGCTGGTGCACACAGAATACCGTACTTTCTCCTGTAATTTATACGGACCGAATACTCGCATCACCAGACAACGGCGCTCAGTTTCCCTATAGCATCCGGGATTGACCAATGGTGTGCACTTTTGTGGACAACTCACAGGCTCATTAGGTACCGATTTAAACGCGCGGACAGGTAAGCTACCACTGCACTTCTAATGTCTTCTCTTGCTACCTAGCACGATAAGCAGAACGAGTGGCCAATTAGGACACTTCGAGACATAATCTAAGCCATCCGTGGGACACGGTGACAGGCTTTGATAAAATCTCAAAACAAAGTCTCTGCCAATCGTGCTTCTGGTAGTCACCTTTTACAGGTGCTAGAACGTCTGGGGACCACAAAAACATGGTCGCGTTTGCGTTCGACAGGGGGACGCGATATACAGTGAGAAAATATGGGAGAAAGGTTGATGTTTTGTCTGGTCCCCATAGACAGGTGGTCGCCAAATACAAGTTGTCCCCATAGCAGATTGGACTGTATAAGTTGCACACAGTGCAATTGGATAACTCTTAGGCCCACTGTGTTGGGGGAGCGTGAATGACGCACAACGCAATGGTGGTAGTGTACAATGTAATCGAGTCCGTACGGAGTAGCATGGCTGACAACGAGAACTGCTTCAGCTGTGTACCAAATCCACCCTTATTCTCGAGCGTTAGCAAGACACACTTCATAAGTCTGAAAACTGATGCTTCATTTCGTCATGACTGTCGACTACCGAAATACTTATCTCAGGTTGCATTCAATCTTAAGTTAAAGGTGCAACCTCCACAATGATGATGACACGCGAAGCGGTTTGTTAACGCTTTTGAGCTATGGTATGACCCCTTATCGTGTTCGCTTGCACTACCCCACTGGTATCGGGGAACGGCACTTACCAGAAAGGCTTCCATAAAATACTGAAGGAGCATCTGGGCACCAAAAGAACGATGCGGGACAAATGTCAATGGAGATATCTGCAGGTAACAGATTGAAGGCTCTGCAATCAGAATATTGTGGCTGTGTGTTGAGTAATTTATGACATGGCAATTACGGTGTGTGTAGGTCAAATGTACTAGTACAAGTCGAATAATCCTGAGTTTTATACAGCACAGAAGAGGTTCGAATCCGTGTAGATGGGGGAGTGCGACCTCGTGGTATACTCAGTCCTCGCGGCACTGTGGTGGCCCCCTGACAGAAAAGCATCGGTAAGGTGTGCCGGTGTACTGCTGATGCCATTTTCTTTTAAGACTATAAAAACAATGATAGGAAAACGCCGAACCACAATAGCAAAAATATGCAATCAACATCGCCCCATATGCTGTCCATCTTCCGACTGCGTATAAAGGCACAATAAGGTCCAAGAACTTAAGAGCCGAGTCGAGTTGAATGGGGCGATGCATCCAGAGATCCAAAAGTCATTATTTCACGTTGGACGCCTCATATGACCGCTGGAGCCATCACATTGTGGATAACCATCAGGGACACAAGGGCATCAGGTACGCCTATATGGCCTTCCACCATCACAGCATTAGGACTAAGATGATGGGTGCTTCTAAGGAACGGTCACCAGATAGGGTGGTTTATTTACACAGTTAGCCATAAAACAAATCTCTCAAGGCTGAAGACTGTGTAGATTTCCACGACAATACAAATTCCGATATAGGCCAACCAAGGGCCACAGAGGTGCAAATGGTAAAATCTGACGCATTCTTGCCAGAACACTCCACGAATCATTAGTCACGGTCATTGGCTCACAATGTAGGGAGGCGGAAGGCAGTGATTGTCTGGAGGACAGAAAGATAACGAAAACGGAAACAGGTGGAATGAGGGAGGGCAGACGGAGCTACGTTGGCCTGACCGAACGAGACGGGAACGAGTCTCGAGCGGCTACCGGTAATGAGTTTGAGCCAAGCAGAACAGAGAGGATATTTCTCGAAAACGCAATAAAGCAGACAAAAGTACCGTTATTGCAGCCTCTAGGACCGACTCCAAGCAGAATGGTGCATTCACGATTAAGCAAATCACGAGCTTTCGAACGACTCCGGGCCGATCAGTACGGGACGCGTAGAAGCGGACCTACCGGGTGACATGGGCAGGAAATGTTCCACCACGAGGTCCTGAAAGTGCAGACGTGTCGCGAGCGGACGCCAGAAGAGATGGTGGGTCATGGTAAGGGAACGCGACACATGTATTTGCGCCTGCGTGAGTGGTCGGACAGGTTGTGATTGCGTCAAGATTGCGCTTCATTGTCGCGTCTTTCTTGCTACAACAAGTCCCCACTTATATTGGGCGCAAAGTATTACGTGACCATCGGCTTGTCCTGACAATGTGCACATACACGCTACACCTACTGCGATTAATACAGTCGTCGATTAGTGGGCCCCCAAAAGAGTGACTGGAACGTTCTCAGATTAAAACCGATCGCTAAGCGCCGCGCATCCGAGGTGATGGGCAATGAACTTTTTGGGTATCCACTGGGTTAACCACACCTGTGCTGACCAGGCTGACGACGCTGTGCGGTAACTTGAACCAAACCTAAAAACTTACATAGCACACAACATTGAAGACAACTTTGTGGTGTACGCGGTCACAACAGCCCGCACTCACCCTTGGATACGAGTGTCATACCGTAGTAGCAATATGACAGTGCTGTATATCAGACAAACGACACCCGTTCCTTCTGTCAAAGTCCGTTATGCGGTTATTGACTGAGTCAATGTGCTCGCGGCTTCCGCAGTACGTTATCACCTTTCTGTTATAGCAACATCACCGGACATTCGAGAGGCTGTCGAACGTTCAGTTCAATTCACGTGACCTCATCGGAATCAAGCAGTGTCGTGCTCATGTGTTGTACAACACCGGATACTAACCTTATACCTGGCAGAGAGACCAGTATTGATGTATTCACTTTGCACTGGTGCTCTGCTGACTACAAACTAAGCTTATTTTCACAAAGAGCCGTCAATCGACGTGTGAAGTGTATCCGTTTAAGTTTATTACGCTCATAATAGACCACTGGGCGCTTCTTGTGTGTTGTATGCCTAGGTTAGACCGCCAGTGAACAACTGTTTCGTTTCTCCGGACTTTTTAAACAGTAATAAGAGGAAAGCTTTGACAATAGTAACAGCTACAACCACTGAGTTTTGTGGTGGGAACACTTGAAAAGCATTCTTACTACTGAATTGGGTCGCATCATTGGAGTGTCATTGTGAAGTACTTGCTGTGTGAATAAACTACAATGTGCTGTCTCAATCACATTGAAGTGAACCTAGATCCATTCGGTTACTGGGACAGTACGTGAAACAGATGAAGGCTGTGTGTTGTCCGCTCGCAATACACTGCACCACGACGGGTTTCGCACTCGGTTGCAATCATTAGGGTTACGACTCAAGCCCGAGGGACGTGTACCAACTGCCACGCGAGGCTTTTATTCCTCCATAAGCTACAGAGTTGTGGGCAACCCTTGTCCCAACGATCGATGACTTGTCTGATGTGACTTAGGGATGAAAGTTTTAGCTGCGAACCCGTAAGTCCATGGATCGATCCGCGGTCCTCCTATCTCTACCTGTCTAGTGTGAACCGGTACGAGTTTGGTCATGGGGCACAGCGTTGCGAGCAGGTAACACACAACATTTATCTGGTTAACCCCATGTTCTTGCAGTCTAGCAAGGATTGTGGTAATGAATGAGTAGCCCGGGATATTTCTCTGTTCTAGCTGTTAGAGTGCTGATCAGTAAATGAAACTCGGTGGCAGATTGGTCGGCGAGTCAAGCCGGTATGCAAAGGAAACGGGCGCTATTATCTGATGAATGCTAGAGGCTGTCTTTCCCAACACTACATTCGGTGACCAGCGTCGTACTCCTTTGAACCGCTGTTGTGTTCTGGTTCATTCTCAGAGCTCGTGAGTTAAACTTCAATGTCTGCTATTTCACGACGTTCACCCATGTTTGGTCAACTTAGTAGCCTTTCGCTCACATGAAAAAGTGGGCGTCTTGCAGAAAGCAGACCCCGATTGCCGGGCGGAAGATGCATGTAACCGCACTTCTAGTTATCCCCATAAAACGTGTGCGGGGTGCAAGATATCCTCGAAAGAAACACCGAGCAGCAGTGTCCCACTCATTCATCATAAAACAGCAAATGTATCGAGCAGTACTGACGGTTAACTGACCTTTATAATCAGTCACTTGTACGTTTGGACCTATTGTATTCATTTGAGCACAGTACACCCCATCTGGTTTAGACAACATAAGCCGTTCAGTGAACCACAAGACTAAATTCTTGCTTTCTTTCCTCTACGATCTTAAAGCCGAAACCGCTGTGTTCTCCTTTTCCGTCAACACTCTAGGTACATCGCGATTTTCGTCTATGGCTCACCAGCATGCCCAGTGCCGATTTCCCGGTTTATATACTGCAAAACGGATCTAAAATGACTGTCGAACCACCCAGAGGTTTGAAGGCCAATCTGATGAGGACGTATACATCCATAGATGAGAATTATTTGAACAATGTACCGGATAAGGTGAGTAACGCGGGTGCGTTGCCATGTATTTAGTGCTAATGTGACTATTATGCTCAAACTGCTTCGGTGAGTTACCTACTCGTGATTTCTCCACAAGAACGCGGGGCTAAAGCTCAGTAAATGTGTTTGGTTATTCCTATCCAGATCTAGACAGCCATATCTGTCTAGTTCGTGTTAGGCGGTTTACGTGTTGCAAAGAATGAATTAACGGTAAGTTTATTTTTTAAGATGGGACGCAGCTCTGGAAGACTCCGTTACAACAGGTAATACGTGCTTCGAACAGCGGCAATTTGTCAATGTCACACGCACACACACACACACTTACGGTACTCTGTCAGATCAAGTGCGTCTACAACATGCATTCATCGAACGATGAGGCGTCGCCCAAACTACAGCGTAGAACGCGAACCACGCTAGCTTGGGTGGTGTGGCACTGGGAACATTAGTAGATTCACCACAGCTCGACACTGGACACCGAGACCACAACAACTACGGTTTTCCTAATCACGGAAAGTCGGTACAACAAACAAGCTCAGTTTTGCTGACTCACCAGCAGCCCAAATACAACTCAGTCCCAAAATGACCATCAGAGAGTGTGAGCTGTCCATGCGGAGCCTGCACAGACGACAGATGACCGCAGTAGAGCCAAAGCCCTATCGTGTTATGCACACACAGCGGAGGGTCATTAAGCTGAAACTCAATCGTCCCGCAAACGATAAATTTGAAACAGACACCTCTTACACAGTAGATCGGACTTTGAACATAAAGACCGGGTGAAGTTTTCCTAATCGCCTAGGCGATTCAAAAATACGTTCTTCTCCGTATGCCCACACAGCATCTGGCATTCAATGATTGCACCGGGATGAAATTAATCCGGACTCCACAGCCACCGTGACCCATGCTACCGACCAAATATAGCGTCACTGATGGTTATTCAGTAACGACCATAGTATAGCTATCAGATGAGATGAGTTGTTTGCTGAGGTTAGAGATGACACGCATGGTACCAACTGTAGTAATGGAACTTAGCGTTCCATTCGTTGTGAGTGTAAGTCGAAACACCTTTTCATCCCACCCATTTGCACATGCGTGTATCGCTGTGAAGATGGGTCATGAAAAGTATTTGCTCACTTTCATTTCCACACAGCTGCAATCCAATTCGATATCTCAACAGAACGCGTCAATAATCATGATCACTGCGAAAGATCCATACTTGGCTTAAAGTTGTCTCCAAACTAAATATGAAGAGAATATTGGGAGTGAAGACGGTCGCGAAGGGGTAGACAATTGATTGCTGAGTTTCGGAGTACTCGCCGTGTGTGTCCGGATTGCAATGGGAGAGAGCAATACCGAAACCCTCCACAGCGGAGACTTAGTCTAGTCTGTCCCCATGCTTTAGAAGTAGCACCTGTCCATAAAGTGCACCTGCGAGGCGATATCATTCTTTACCTCACAGTTTGACCTCATGGACATTCATGCCCTACAGCAAACAAGTAGGGTTTAAATTGGTCGTCCCGTCAGGGGTCAACCGCGGCGACTCTGATGGTGGAGTATCCATGTTATATGCGTACTGGACATAAACCACACGATGCATCATGTTGGTCCCTTATTGAAAGACGCTATGCGTTGGTTACTCGTGCTTTTAGCTAATACCGACGCAGCGAGTGTCAGATCCAGTTTACTACACAACGTCCTGGGCTAAGTAGAGGAGACACGTTCCGATAGGTAAACGTTGAATAACATAGGCAACGCGTACTCGAACAACCGAAACTTCCAATCCCATCAAGTGAACCACACCGGGCACATGGGTCCAGCAGTTCTATGCATTATATCGGTTCTACTTCAGCTGTACTATCCAACACGACAAATGCGCGGTAGGGGTCGCTGATCAAAGACACGAAACCGTCTGAGATTCCCCGATCGAAATGGCATAGTCTGGTCACACGAAAGAAAAGAAGCCGTCAGTTGCTTTGTGCAAACAATCGTTTTATCTGAAAGAGATCCAGTTGAGAAGGGCCGTTTCCACATTCACCATGCACTTGTCTCCGCTGATTCAACTACCCATATGGATGAACCGATAACCACATGTTAGGTTAAGGTGGTCAGAGTTTCCTCGGGCCAAATTGGGATGTTTAACCTACTCCCGTTGTTTCAACACATGCAGACCGTACAAGAAATTGTAAAGCTAAATGTCTACAAGTATTACTTCGCCGCAATAACAAAGAATCTTACATCATCAATTAGTACAATGGCTGCGCTACTGAAGTTGATGTGTTTGACATTGTATCATCTCGAACCACAGTTGTAGAGTAATACTTATCAGATGTATGTATGTTCCATAGTAGATGTGGGTGCTGCATCAGCATGTTGTGAAGTCGTTCGCGAGGATGCCCGGTGCTCTTGTTCGCAAAATTTAATTTCACCATAAGCATCGCTTTCAGTGTTTGAACGCCAGGTTGCATTTTCTTGTTTGTCCATACAGTCTTCATGTGCGAGACTATTTCAGTAGGCGCATTAGTCCCAGGGAGAGAGAAAATAAATTCAATACGTTGTTGTATTTGTTCACATGGGACCGAGTTGGCTTGGAAATGAGAAAATACTTCTACCCACCGCTTGTCAACCTTTATTTGTTTACAGTCCGAATCGGAAATTTTGTCGGCTGGTACAAACTTACACACGTTGTCATCTTCGTCAAACAGCTCGTTATCATTGATTTCTAGGTTTGGGAGTTTAGATCCAAAAAGACGAACGCTTGTTTGGACATTTTCCAAGGACAGTGCTTGTTTCAATGCCATCCAAATGAAGCCACTTAATTCTTGCAATTGCTTAATTCTTTCCTGTAGATGGCGCAATCGTCGTAGAAGCTATTGATAACATTCATCGCATCTGCTTTTCTGATGAGACCCGCTTGTTCGAGTCAGTCAGTTCGGACGTTTACCTCCTTCGAAACAAAGCAGTTTCTGCTCCTGTCCTTCCATTTCTGCAGGAGTTCGTACATTGCAGACACTTCCAGTGCTGAGTTATTTTGTTCTTCAATTTTAAGTACAGTAGCATGAAAAGTGGCAGAGATGTTGTGTATAAAGAGAAGGCACAACTCAGCGCAGGGATTTTCAAAGAAACATTGTAATACTGTAGGACACTTCTATCGAGACAAAAAAACAGGATTTCAACGCTGAAAAGACCTTCAGAATTATCTCAACTGCTGGCATAAGTGGAAGCCATCTGATTTTTCTGTATCCTGGAGTGCGTTGGTACTCTACCATTGCAGTCACAGAATTCCTTTAGTTCTTCAGCACGATCAGTGTGAATGTAAGAATATATTTTCGCCACAAATTTTTCGACATTATTAGGAAGACGGTCAGCTGCCATTTGCAATGTGTTGTGGGAAATGTGGGCCATGCATCCAATTCCCATAAGTGTTTCTCCAACCGAAGGTTTCAATTTTGGAAATACATTGTTTGGGCCTCTTCTCTGAACTCCACCGAAATTTTTGTTGGCGTTGTCAGCACAAATCCCACCGTTTTTCTGGTAATATTATATTCTTCCAAGACATCCCATAAAAATTAAGAAATTTCGTCCGATATCATCAGCAAGTGGCTTCAGATGTAATAACTGTACTTCAATACCCGATGCCGGCACAGAATTTCTCGCAAGGCGTGGGAACACCTTTAATTGGTTGTGGTTTGGAGCGTCTGTGAATATTGACACGAAATTTGCTTTCTTCAATTTTTCTTGAAGTTGGTCTCTGGCAAATGGGAACAGGATATTAGTTATTGTTGCCTCACATTTTGTGCGGGCACAAGCAAACTTCGGCTCAAACAATTTCCCTACCAACATGTTTGTACAATTCAGGGGGCGGAAACTGTGACTATAATAAACTATGATAAGCGAAGGTCTCTTCTGCGGCTGCTAACTTGGTTTCTATGTTTCCAAATGTTTCTGATGGGAAATAACTTGTTACAGGGGTAGAAGATGTTGCCGCAGACACAGCTACCTTATGGCGACCTGATTTTAGGTACTCTGTGATATCTGATCTGCTACTGTGAGCAACAGAAAATTCGGATCTGCATGTGTCACATCGAACATGCGAATCGTTGCCGCGTGTTGCATTCTTAATGAATGGAAAATCGCTCTCCGATTGAGTAACCATCTTGTAGGGCGGCGGAAGCCTGTGACTACTCTTGAAACGGAAAGACAACGAAAACGGGATAGTAACGAATCACCAAAGGGCGCAATGGATGAAGTGTAAGGGTGTGGAATGTTATCGGACGGATAACATCCAATTTCCATTCACTTCATCTATGGTCCTAGTGATCGAATTAACTAAGGTGCACCTCAAGGCGATTTATGATCCACATTGTGATTGCTTGCCGCATTCCAAGCACACATCGTTTCCTTCAAAATAATCTAAAAGCTCCACAGGTGACTTTGTTTAACACAGTAGGCTTCGATGTGGACTTGAAGATATTTACTAATTGGACGCACATCATAAAATAGTGATGCTCTGCTTAGCCTCTTAGGCTATGAACGTTTTCGCAAAGATCGTTCGCACAAACTTGGCGCTGGTTATGCTTTATATCTTCGTAATAGGCATACAGCGATTCCTACTGGACTACCTGTACTCTGTGACCTAGAAGATTAAAAATGGCTGGTGATTTCATCTGTTGATATTCTGGTGGTCTGTAATTGTCATCCCCCCGGGTCACTCACTGTAAAATCCAAAAGCCAATTAACGTGATCCAAACTCTCTCCACCTGCTAGTCCAAAGTGATATGCAGAGGTTTCAACTTGCCATATGTAAACTGGTTGCTGCCTACACTTATGGCAACTGCGGAACTTAAGGAAATAATCTCCTGCATTCATCTGGTATGTTGGACCCAGCAGGTTAAAGAGGCAAACCGAAGTCACAACCCTAGACCTTGTATTCACGATGGAGAATCCACTGAGAATCCGATACGGGATTGTGATCACGACACGGCAAATTTTAACATGACTACTAA